ACCTGTGGGCCGCACACTGCCTTGTTGGGTGGGTGGGACATAGGGCAAAATTTGATGCCCCTCCCCATTCCTCGTGCTACCGTGCGAAAGCCAACAAAGCAACACACCAGGTTTGGGGAAGGAGACATGAGACTCTGGCAGGAGGCCCTCCTCCTCCTTCCCAAAGCTGGGGAAGTGCTAACCAGGCTTTGGGAAGACTCTAGGACCCTGTTTGAGCCTTCATGTCCCATTCCCAAAGCCCAGGGCCTCCTTATCCAGCTTTGCGAAGGCAGCATGGGGGCTGACATCAAATGTTGCTGAGGGTCTCAAAGAAAGGCCTCAAGGGCCATTCCTTGGGCAATGTGTTGGACCACCCTGCCAGTTCTTTCAGGGCCAGTCTGTACAAAGTCACACCATTGCACCCTGTGGATGCCAAAAGGCTGTCTACAGCACAGCCTGCAATATATCTAACATTATCTGTTTCATGCTGAAACGCTTTGGGTTGCGATGAGATGCCTGGGACTCAGCTACTTCAGTAAAGAAAAAGTGTTTAAAATGTGCTATAACACTGTGACACCATATGGCGCTGTGGAGTCCCATCTATCGCCAACGTGATTTCCCATTATGAGGTTTACAATGCGTTTTGCTGAAACTTTTTTTTTTATGTTTCTAGATCCAGCCCTGGTTTGTTTAGACATAGTTTACCATGGCGTCTGGGCATATACTTCTCTGAAAATGTTACCAAACATTTGCTATATATATATATATATATAATTTATACCCTGCCCATCTGGCTGAGTTTCCCCAGCCAAATATGGCTGTGAAGGACCCATCCAGACTAACAGGTCAACCAGGGCTTGCTTTCCCTTACCGCACAGCATTAAAAGTTTCGTAACTGCTTCGAAAACAGCAAAGTATGGATGCAGAAGCTGTGGCTTTCCAGATGTTGCTGAACAACAGCTCCCATCATCCCTGACCATTGGGCATGCTGGCAGGGGGTGATGGGAGTTCCACAACATCTGGGGGTCACCCAGTTCTTCAACGCTGCTTCAGGCAAATTACTTAGTTTGAAAATGCTTTAGAGGTTCACTGATTAAATAGGACACTGGCACCTCCTTCAATTTGTTATACTTCTATGGATCACAGCTATTTTGACATCAAGCAGTTCCGTAACTGCAGTCCTGAACAATACCAATATAAATTTCCCCATCTTTGGTGTATCTGGTTCAACCCTGTAGCATTTTGCTCACTGTTTCAGCGAGGCGGTGTTTGCCTACGGTGTACAGACATGTCTGAGATTAATCCAAAGAGATGGATCAAGCTAAAAGAGTCATTTATGCAGCTTTGGACTATCCAAGAAGGATATTTGTGCACAAAGTATTGCTAACATCAAGATTAGGGGGGAAAGGGGGGGAACCCCCGAGAGATACTCTTAGATGTCTGCAAATTAATAGATGAATCCATTAAGAAATCGCTGCTCAAAGGAACTGTGGCTGGCAAAACAAGGAAGTATAGCTGGTCTGAGAAAAGAAACCTTCAGCTAATTTTGAAATATGAGTTCCTTGTATTATATTGTAGCCACGAGGATAAGCCAACACAAAAGCATTATGATTTACTACTGCAATACAGAGAAACAGTTTTTTCCTGTATAGTTCCTTTCCAACATGTCCATCACTAACTAAGGTAAAACATTCTTAGCACAGCATAATCAGATCTCATAGCTTCATTTTTACAGCCAAAAGGGGGATAGCCAGACTCCAGTAGCTGTAAAGAACTGAGGAACTGAGGAGAAGTTGTCCATTTCACAGCATTTGAAGTGCTCAAATCTGCATTTTAAAACTTCGGAAGCAACTGCAGTGGAAATGAAAAATGACAACACAGAAGTTCTTCGTTCTGTCCCATGAGTCAGCTATCTTTCTCCATTGTTAGTTCCCGACACTGAGGAGGGGAGCGGAAACGAACTGCATTTTCACTCACACTGAAGATGGTAATTTCTTTTAAAACCCTAAAAAGTGGGTAAACCCTTCCCATTTTAAGTCTTTGGCCTACTGAAGTGACATTTTTAAAACTAGCAAGCAAGAAAGCAAGGCGCGGTTTGTAGTGAATGGTGGTGAATGATGGAGGACAACAACAACATCCCCAATTCATAGATAGTTAATTAGGAGGCAGGCAAATACTTTAAAAAAAGTTTCTTAGTGGAGAAACTCTACAGTTATGGCATTCTTGCTCACCTGGTCTTACCTTCAACTGTTTCTAAAATGTATGGAACAGAAGAACACTAGCAGAGATTGTTCGAGGAAGGCTTTGTGTATTCCAAAGACCCCTATTCACCTACAGTCAAGGTGATGGAAGATTTTTCTTTCACTGCAATAATTTCCCTCAAAAACAACACCTCACCTTTTATTCCATATATTTAGTAACAAACATTCACTTACAGAGGAAAAAGTAAATGGGTGAACTTGGGGACTGCATTAGGCTCCTTTGAAAACCAAGTTTGCTCGCATAGTCCAATCGCGGTCATTCCCTGATCACACTAGAATATAACAATGGTGCAAGAGGGGGGCAGAAGGTTAAGGACATTTTAATTTACTCATTCCAAACATATCCTGACCTTTTAATGCATTCAGATTGGCTTACAATAGGTAAAACAACAACAACATCATGGATAGGTGTAAGATATAGAAATGTGTTTATTCTTGTTCTAGAATGATGCTTTGCAGGAAAAGAAAAACGAATCCGTATGATTTTTTTTAAAAAATGTATTTAAAATACAGGAGTGCTTGTTCTCTTTTTGACTGAAGCTGGGCAGCATGACAGGGTCCATTGTTCGACAGTCGGATGGTCTCTCTCAAGAGGTTGTGGACTCTCCTTCGTTGGAGGTTTTTAAGCAGAGGTTGGATGGCCATCTGTCATGGATGCTTGAGTCTAGATTCCTGCATTGCAGGGGGTTGGACTAGATGACCCTTGGGGTCCCATCCAACTCTACAATATGACTCTGTGAATAATGGACACTTTATATGCAATTCTCTCAGATGGTGGTGAGGACAGCACATGGATTTGATGAAAGGGACCTTCTGTTTGGAAGATAGGACCCATTGCAGCTCAAGAAACACTACAAGTTTTGGGAACTATGGCCATGAAACATGGGTCACAAACTTGCAAAAAGTACTTCAGCTGGCAAAATATGCTTCTTCTGGATGCCCAAATGCTAGCTTTCAAAAGTTTTGGCTCTGATTGGTTGATGCTCTTTCCCTCAATGAACAAATAAGGAAGCAGCATGACTAAAAATCATTAAATAAAAACCACAGAGACTCATTGGGTGCTCAAGGGAGTAAGTGAAAGGTATTTTTGTTTTGGACTAATGCAACTTAATAATTAAGAGCATGTTAAATTTGAAGTGCCTAGTTCCAATCTCTGCTGAGCCACAAACTTGCTGGATAGCTCTGCTTTTCAGCCTCACTCCCCATCTGTAATATGGACACACTAATATTGGACTAGAGATGCGGGTGGTGATGAGGGTTAAACCACAGAGCCTAGGACTTTCTGATCAGAAGGTCTGCGGTTCGAATCCCCGCGATGGGGTGAGCTCCCGTTGCTCAGTCCCTGCTTCTGCCAACCTAGCAGTTTGAAAGCACGTCAAAGTACGAGTAGATAAATAGGTACCGCTCTGGCGGAAAGGTAAACGGCGTTTCCATGCGCTGCTCTGGTTCACCAGAAGTGGCTTAGTCATGCTGGCCCCATGACCCGGAAGCTGTACGCCGGCTCCCTCGGCCAATAAAGCGAGATGAGCGCCACAACACCAGAGTCGGCCACAACTGGACCTAATGGTCAGGGGTCCCTTTCTTTACCTTTAATATTGGACTGTCCCTTCATTTCCCCAGTCCCACAACTAAACATACAACAAATTGAACCTTGCTCACCTCTACTGATTAGTAGATGTCCGTACATTCAGCTCTCTACAGGCATCATGTCTTTTCCATCACTAGATGGGGCCTACTGCTTCCTGCAGGCTTGCATTGTTCTAAATGCACAAGGTCATTGCATGTATTGATCAGCAAATAGAACTGGCTCCCATTTTTGCTGTCAAACATCTTCCAGCTCTGGATTGGTGCATCAGGTTCATTTTGCTTCTGATTTTATGCACATGTTTGCTGACATGCTTATTTCCACAGAGAGCTGCTTAATTCTCCCAAATGTACGAGAAGGTGGAATGAGCTGGTTTGAATAGACCCGGTGATGTTTCAGCAATTTTGGCTCTTGGCAGATTCTAATGCGATAGCCCAAGATTGTTTACAGTTAAAAGTGCCTTGCGGCCAACAGAATGGGAGCCATTTTTATTCCCTGGGTTGGGTGCGAGGGTCAGAGGCAAGTCCCAGATGTAGGAAGAGCAGAAAAAATGCCATCGATGCACAGTGACCACCTACATTTCGAGGAAATAAAAGCCCAGCTGCCTGAGAAGAAGCAGGAGAACTTTCTGCCTTCCTGTGTGGCTGCAATCAAACTGCAAAACTGGGCACAATTCAAAACTGGGGGTTCCTTCATGCTCCTCAGTGCTACAGGCAGGTGCAGGTGGCACTGTGGTCTAAACCACTGAGCCTCTTGGGCTTGCTGATCAGAAGGCCGTCGGTTCAAATCCCCACAATGGGGTGAGCTCCCTTTGCTCTGTCCCAGCTCCTGCCAACCTAGCAGTTCAAAACCATGCCAGTACATGTAGATAAATAGGTACCACTGTGGTGGGAAGATAAACGGTGTTTCCATGTGCTCTGGTTTCTGTCATGGTGTTCCACTGTGCCAGAAGTGGTTTAGTCATTCTGGTCACATGACCCGGAAAGCTCTCTGTGGACAAACACCAGCTCCCTCGGTTTGAAAGCGAGATGAGTGCCACAAACCCATAGTCGCCTTCAACTGGACTTAAACGTTCAGGGGTCCTTTACCTTTTACCTTTAGTACTACACAAGCTGTACACCAGTACTGTTGAGTCAATGACCAAGCAGACAGCTCTTAAAAGCATGATGAACGAAGGGCTACAGCTCGATGGCAGAGCCTCTGTTTTGCACGCAGAAGGTCCCACGTTCAAATCTGGGCATCTCCAGGTAGGACTGTGAGAGATCACTGCCTGAAGTCCTTGGACTTAAAATGGTCCCCCACTCTTGATATATGCAGATGCAGTTGTCCACAGTATTACATCATTGTTCCAAACCATGTCAATTTCAATACAGTGGTACCTCAGGTTACATACGCTTCAGGTTACATACGCGTCAGGTTACAGACTCCGCTAACCCAGAAATAGTGCTTCAGGTTAAGAACTTTGCTTCAGGATGAGAACAGAAATTGTGCTCCAGTGGCGTGGCAGCAGCAGGAGGCCCCATTAGCTAAAGTGGTGCTTCAGGTTAAGAACAGTTTCAGGTTAAGTACGGACCTCCGGAACGAATTAAGTACTTAACCCGAGGTACCACTGTATAAGCATTTATTGTAGTTAAGACTAACCAGGATTTCCCAATTAACCAGGATTTGAAAACACGGCTGCTTTTAACACAGTTCACATTGCTGCCCATACCTAGGGAGTGCAATGCTTCCCCCCCCTTTTTTAAATGATATTTATTAAAGTTTCACAAAGAAAGAATCACATCAACAAAAAAAGAAAAATTCAAGAATAAAAAGAAAAATACACAATGCAAAATACAAAAAGAAAAAAGAAAAAACAGTTAAAAACAATTCCCTCTTTTCATCACTACTTTTACATTTACTTGTTTCCCGGACCTCCTCATACCTCCCTCTTTTGTATTCCAATTCAGTTTGTTAGTCCAGCAATTCCTTTCCCTCCTTTTTAATCCCAATCCTTAATCTTAATATAATATAACATTAAATTTTTACCTATTAAAAACCAATTTTTCCATTCTTTTAACCTTTTTAATCCTAATCCTTAATCTTGATATATTTATAACTTTAGAGCCTGTACAGCTAGAAGCCACTTAATTTCAATCCAACATCACTCTAACATTCATTAATTTTGCAATATTTCTGTAAATAATCTTTGAATTTCTTCCAATCCTCTTCCACCGACTCTTCTCCCTGGTCACGGATTCTGCCAGTCATTTCCGCCAATTCCATGTAGTCCATCATTTTCATCTGCCATTCCTCCAGTGTGGGTAGCTCTTGTGTCTTCCAATACTTTGCGATGAGTATTCTTGCTGCTGTTGTAGCATACATAAAGAAAGTTCTATCCTTTTTTTAACACCGGTTGGCCGACTATGCCCAAGAGAAAGGCCTCTGGTTTCTTCAAGAAGGTATATTTAAATACCTTTTTTAATTCATTATATATCATCTCCCAGAAAGCCTTAATCTTTGGGCACGTCCACCAAAGGTGAAAAAATGTACCTTCAGTTTCTTTACATTTCCAACATTTATTATCAGGCAAATGATAGATTTTTGCAAGCTTAACTGGGGTTATGTACCACCTGTATATCATTTTCATAATATTCTCTCTTAGGGCATTACATGCCGTAAACTTCATACCTGTGGTCCATAACTGTTCCCAGTCAGCGAACATAATGTTATGTCCAACATCTTGTGCCCATTTAATCATAGCAGATTTCACCGTTTCATCCTGAGTGTTCCATTTCAGCAGCAAGTTATACATTCTTGACAAATTCTTAGTTTTGGGTTCTAACAGTTCTGTTTCTAATTTTGATTTTTCCACCTGAAAGCCAATTTTCTTATCCAAATTGTATGCCTCCATTATCTGATAATAATGAAGCCAGTCTCGCACTTTGTTTTAGTTTTTCAAAACTCTGCAATTTCAATCTGTCTCCATCTTGTTCCAAAATTTCCCAATATTTTGGCCATTTGACCTCCATATTGAGCTTTTTCAAGGCTTTCGCTTCCATTGGTGACAGCCACCTTGGAGTTTTGTTTTCCAATAAATCCTTGTATCTTATCCAAACATTAAACAGTGCTTTCCTGACAATATGGTTTTTAAATACTTTATGTGCTTTGACCTTGCCATACCACAAATATGCATGCCACCCAAATACGTTGTTAAAACCTTCTAAATCCAAAATGTCAGTGTTTTCAAGAAGCAGCCATTCTTTCAACCAGCAGAAAGCTGCTGATTCATAGTAAAGTTTAAGGTCTGGCAGGGCAAATCCACCTCTATCCTTTGCATCTGTTAGTATTTTAAATTTTATTCTGGGCTTCTTGCCCTGCCAGACAAATCTAGGGAGTGCAATGCTTCCCTACAGCGTAACCCATCGGGAGCATTATAATCATATCAGAAGTAAAAATACAGTGGTACGTCAGAAGTCGAAAGGAATCCGTTCAGGAAGTCCGTTCGACTTCCAAAACGTTCGGAAACCAAGGCACGGCTTCTGATTGGCTGCAGAAAGTTCCTGCAGCCAATCGGAAGCTGTGGAAGTCACGTCGGACGTTCGGGTTCCAAGGAACGTTCACAAACCGGAACAGTCACTTCTGGGTTTGCGGACTTCAGGAGCCAAAACGTTCGACTCACAAGGCGTTTGGGATCCAAGGTACGACTGTATGTGATAGGTAAAGGTAAAGGGACCCCTGACCATTAGGTCCAGTCATAACCGACTCTGGGGTTACGGCACTCATCTCGCTTTATTAGCTGAGGGAGCCGGCGTACAGCTTCCGGGTCATGTGCCCAGCATGACTAAACTGCTTTTGGCGAATCAGAGCAGCGCATGGAAACGCCGTTTACCTTCCCGTCGGAGCGGTACCTATTTATCTACTTGCACTTTGATGTGCTTTCGAACTGCTAGGTTGGCAGGAGCAGGGACCGAGCAACAGGAGCTCACCCCGTCGCGGGGATTCGAACTACGACCTTCTGATCGGCAAGTCCTAGGCTCTGTGGTTTAACCCACAGCGCCACCCGTGTCCCTGTATGTGATAGTGTTGTGTAAACCAGGAGCTGAAAGAAGACGATTAGATTTTAGGAAGATAGCTTTATAAATCTCCAGCAGCCCTTTCCAAGGCACACCACATATTGGTTTACATTTTTTAAACTACCATTTCAATTTGGGAAGGAGGGCTGAAAGACACATACATTCCGTTTTACCGTTAAGCTAATCTCCAAAACATAAAACAAAACAAAACAGCTCCTTACAGCTAAAGTTTGGCCAAAAATGGGTGGGGAAGAGGAATAAAAAGAAACCACCAACGATTTGCACAAAGGAATGCATACTCCTCTGTGAGTTTTTGGTCTGCTGCCATTTTTCCCTTTTGGCAACCATTGTAATGTTGTGGGCATCGTACAAATGCATTTGCGGCAGCCCGAGGGTTAAGTCAGACATTTCTTATCTTTGACAGATGGTTAATTTACAGTCATTATTACTAAATTCAATTGCTTAATAAGTTAGATATGACAAACACGTGTGTAGAAATCTTTGCCAAGACACCCTTCTCGGAATCCGAGGATGAAGCAAGCCCTGAAACACTTTCCCCATACATCCTCATGCTGAGGGTGACAGACTGAAGCACATTTTTAATTTTCCTATGGATTTTTCTTTTTAACTCTTTAAGATCATATGCTATCTTACTAGAGTATATTTCCAAGTCACACAATCCAGCAACTGGGTTAGGCAGAACTCTCAATTAACCAAACTGGTAGTATGGTTCTAGTCTTATGCACCTGTTACAGGCTTCTGAATCTTAGCATGGGAACGTCTCTTTCAGGGGTAGCCAACGTGGTTGTTGTTGTTGCTGTGGACTACAACTCCCATTACCTCCAACCATCAGCCATGCTGGCTGGGGCTGATGGGAGTTGTAGTCCTCAATATCCAGAGGCCGCCATGTTGGCTACTCCTGAATTCTATCCCCCAAGATGCACATGGAATGTCCATACTGCACACTCAAAAGGTCACTGTGAGGGAGCCAGTCCTGAATACACAACAGCCCCTGGTTGGTCCAAGACATTTTGACTCCTGAGGTGAACCATAAAATGGTGCCCACCCAACAACCAGGGAAGAAGGGGTAAATGAAGATCAGCATCAGGAACAAGGGGGGTGGAGGAGATCAGCAGCACCTCCATTTTTCCAAGAGGCGATATGCGAGGGGCTGCTAAGGACACTGCAGATCCACCATCCAAGGAACATGCTGCAGCCATTGTTTCTGCTACAGCAGCAGCAACAACACTGGGCAATGCATTTCTTGGAGGCCAAATCTGCCGCCCCTGGGGATCCTGCTGCCCGAGGCAGTCTCGCCTCACCTTGCCTTCTGGGTGGGCCGGCCCTGGTCCCAGGTTTGTATTCACTTGCTTCAAGTTATGAGGACAGCAATTAGTTATGCCCCTCGAGAAGCAAATGTGGAAGTCGGTGGTGAAATCTTCCCTCCCCTTTGGTGATTATCACTTTGGCAAGGGGAAATTTCTCCATAAGTATCTGAGGGTCTGTCGCTACATTTCTTCCAGTCCAGTTCTTGCACAAGCCCCACTCTTTTCTGTGGTGCCAAGGGCATGGTGGACAGTAGGTAGCTGCCCATCCCTGCAATGACCCGATGACCTGATTCACAAACACAGAACCTCTTTTGTAAAACGTAGTAGAAATCCCCCAAAGCCGCCTGTGGAAATAAATGAGAAGAAATCTAAATGCTCAGAAGCTATTTGTACATAAACCATATCAGGTAGGAAGATGCATTAAGATTTGCATCAGCATTTCAGTGCACTAAACAATTTCAGCTCATAAATAAAGGCGGATCCCAAACTAAACCGATACCGTTATAAACCTATGTAAAATGTAGAGCATTAATAAAGAGTCTGCTTATCTTTGCTCATCTGTCAAGCTAAGCCCATCCATATAACCCCCCAAATGGTCAATATTTATTCTTTTTTTCTTTTTTAAAATAATTTTTATTAATTTTAAAACATAATAATTATCATACATTCCACAAAATTTCACCTCTTATGCAATCTTTTTGGACTTCCATCAGCACCTCTGGTGATCTCCCATTTTTATAATTTCTTCTGCATTTTTTAAATTCATATTGCCTTTAATTATCATAGCTAACGTTATCCTTTTCGTTCAATAATGCAATAATTCAAATTATTCCCCTTACAAAACTTCCTGCAAACAAATGGTCAATATTTATTCAGAGGGAGAGAGAAGAGGAAAATATTGGCGTAACTTAGCTGGATACATCTCCACTACAAGCTAAGGAACACATAGGTAGGGCTGCCATACAACTCAAAAGCTCAACAACTCAACAACTTGAAAGCTCAACATTTGTGTCTAGATTTTCACTTTTTTGAAATATAGCAAGCCTAATATAGGGTTGTGTTCAACATAGCACTAAGGTTAAGATTCTATCAGTGCAATGAATTCCTCTTTCTTTCCCCCCACATTTGCTCGATCCCTGAATCTGTTCTGGAGTTTACTCCAACCCACTGGAGCATATTTGGGGAGAGCAGGAACATGCAGTGGGAGGAGAAGAAGGAGAGTCTTGTTGCACTAGCAGTCGTTCTTGCACACATGCAACGATTTCCTTGAAAACTGGCGCTACATTCCAATGCATCTCAATGACAAAAAATGTTTTTCTTCCCATTAGTCGCTAGATTTAATAAATCCTCAACCCAGTCTTCTTCACAGGGAGGTTTGGACTTTCTCCAGTTTTTCAGAAATAGACATTTGGCTGAAAGACCACAACATACATGACAGTGCCATCATGCCCAGCACAAAACAGCAGCCATTGTGTTCCAGGAGTTCCTGGCTCAATACGACACGTCATGAATTTCAAACCCAATAAACTCTCAAAACTGAATTCGCTGTGTCAGCATAGATCTAATTCCTTCTGGAGGGAATCATATACTTGGATCTTCAGGTCAGAGGCCTACTTGGGATTTGCTTAACGTAGAGCTCAGTTTGTCCCTTAGGCTTGTTGGTCTATTGTATCTTGAAATAGTACTATGTTTGGGGTCTCCAAGGTTGGCAAGGCATGAGGCAAAAATGCAGTGGGCCTCTCTAATTCTTACTGTAATTTCAAGGGCTCTGTCCCTGCCAATCACAGACTTTCCTCTCATGCCCCATTGTGTGAGAAGCTCATCTTGTTCAACTTCAGCCTGGGTCACCTGAAGATAATGACATTTGATAAGCTCAGAGCTGCAGACCAGAGGTCAAACTCGGCGTGATGGTAGCAATCATCACTCATTGCCCATGGACAGAAAAATGTTTTTCTCCTTGTCTCGTGATACTAGATCCCAGGGCCATCAGGTGAAGCAGAGTGGTGGGAGATTCAAGCGCAACAAAGAAGTAATTTAGGCACGTGGTTAAACTTTGGAACTCAACACCACATGTAGTGAAGGGCATGGGTCTGAGAAGAGAGTGGATGAATTCATGGAGGGGAAAGGATGCTAGAGGCTACGTACAGCCTCTGAAGTGAGAGGGAACCTACCGCTGAGGAACAAGTGGAGAAGACAGCTATTGCTTTCATGTCCTGTTTGTGAGCTTCCTAGAAGCATCTGACTGCAGGAAAGAGGATGATGGAATGGAGAAGGATGCTGGTTGGACCCATATGACTGTCTGTTCATGTGGAGGTTCACAGAATAGTGTGTGTGTGTGTGTGTGGAAATGCCCAATTTCATCATTAAAGGGAGCTCCTCTGTTTCATCCTCACCTGCACTACCTCCCTCCCCATCAGCCAGACTCCATTACTGGAAGCGAGACAGGCTGAGAGATGAGTGCTGGGGGGTGACAGCCTGCAAGGAGCGCTCTTCTCCTTTCATCTCTGCACCCCTTTTGATGTTAAAATTAGACACTTTCCCCACTTTAAACATCAACTGTGCAGACACTTGAACAAACAAAAGTGGCTGTCACCATCACGTCGGGCTTGGCCCTGAGTCTGTGATGTGGGATGGAAGAAGAAGACTGGGAGAATGCAGGAAATTGTGATGGATGGGTTATTTAATCTTGTCACTCTTGAAACAGCCCCTCCTGGGACCGGAATACAGGCTGGGGACTGCAGGACTGTAGGCTACTCTCCTTTCCCCCCCAAAAAATGCTTGCGAAAAGGGAGAATAGTTTTAACCTTTTTCGCCTGAAATGCCAGCATTTCTCAGCCAGGCCTGGCTATCACCTTGGTATCCTAGTTTTATTCTACAAGGATTTTTTGTTTTTGCATAGGGCAGCATTTGAACATGTGAATCCTCCCACCTACGTTTGGAAGTGGTACATGCCAAAGGAGGCTCTACCATGTTCTTCCTTAAAATGTACATCATCTCTAACGCACCAAAATGATGCTTCTGAGAGGCAAGGCTAGGGAACCCTTTCCAGTTTGAGAGCCACATTTCCTTGTGGGCACTGATGGGTGGGGCCACAGGCAAAACTGGATAGAACAACTGATGTCAATGCTACCTTTGCACATACATACCTCTCCACCCTCCACCCAAGCAAGCAAGCAAACAAACAAACATACATTATCAGGGTTCAAAGGCACACATCAGCCAGGCGAAAACACTCAAGGCAGGTGCAAAGCCCACCTATCAAAATTCCCTGCATTCTCCTATCACTGCCTGCTTTTAGATGCCAGGCAAAAACATTCTTAATAACCCAGGCTTTTTAATTGGGAGGGTAGCTAGATATGTCAGTGGCCTTTGTTGTGCCCATCCTTTAAGTGGGGTGGGTAGGACTTGTTCCTTTTAATATCTTTTATATCTTTTTGTTCTTTCTCTTTTCATTGTTTCAGTCACTCTGGGACACCCGAGTGCAAAAACACAACTAATAAATAAGAATAAGACTAGTAAAAAATAAGAAACAAACAACTAATTCCAGAGGGCTGGAGCTGCAACACTAAAAGCTCAATTTCTAGGACATACGAAGCACACCTCTGGGGTGTGTGCAGTAGTCTAAGCAGTGCTCCATCTGAGTTACGTAGTTGCCTAGCAGAGATGTATGGAGGCAAGGTCTTCCTTTCAGCAGCCTGGTGCTAAGTTGTTTAGGATATGCCTTTTGCCAACTGAGTGCTGGGTTAGGCTCATCCTATCTATGTCAGATGTCCCCAGAACGGTAGAAACTAAAGCCCCCATGCACGTTAATGTTGTGGATATTATTGTAAGTAAATTAAATAAATAAGTTTCCCCAGTCCTCTTGTGCCCCGTCTGGTTATTCTGGTGTGTGCAGGGATTTCGTTCCTGTGCTCTGCTCCTGAGCTATGCCCCATTACAAAGCTCACTGAGAATGCAAGCAAGTTAGACACTTTTAAGCACATTTGGCCAGAAGTTATGTCTTGATTTCGTTTCGCTTACGAAACATGCTCAGAATCACAGCCCTCCGCCTGCTACAATGCCGGCATCACACAAAATCGTAACAAATAACCGCGGTCAATTCTAACAAAAGATGGGGACTATCACGTTGCATTTAGCAATTTGACCACCAGACTGGCTTCCTGTTCTGGCACAAAAGGGAAACCACTCCAAATAATAGAGCCTAAATTATAACGTTAGGTTTGCGAACTCTTTGGGGAGCTGGGGAAATCAATTCCATGAAAAAAAAGAAGAAGTCCTGGGTCTGTGAACATATTAAGTAGTGCTGATACTGAATATTTGCCACATGTGTTTCAAATTAGGAGAGGGAGTTCTAAAAACCTCTTCCAAGTCAACATCTCACTTATTTATAGCTTGATCTTGAGACTTTCCTAACAAAATATTGCATTTGCAGGGATACTAGTGCAGGGAGCTATAGGAAGCTCATCCATTGTACCCAACAACCCCACATCCTGATGATACTCATTTTTGGCTAACTGCTAATGGAACCAATGATCACCAAGCACAACGAGAAAGAGTTGTCTTGTGATGTGGTGATGCGGCAAGTCCCCCCCCACACACACACAATAGGAATGGTCTGGAACCTGAACGCCTGAAGGAGAATTTGCTGGGGTTTCTTATTGCAAAATTGTTTGGAGATGTTTCATAGGAAGCAATTCATAAATGTAAGCAAACAAACAAATAAGCTACACAACATTATATTTTCTTCTGTGTTTGAATACTTTGCATTTGGACGCTAGATAGCATCTGAATTCAGACTCCACATCATGTAGCCATGCCTGTGATTAGGTGCTACATACATTTTCTTTCCTAATGACCAATGAAACTCAGCTCAGTGGAAACTCAACTGCTACACATCTAGGCTGTCTTCTTCTCCTTCTTCTCCTTTGGTGATCACTCGTAGCCGAGTAAGATTATCAGCACCCTGCTTTAACCAACTGTGTTATCCAGAAAATATCAACTTAAGTATAAGGCTAAGCACTTGTATTTACTTATTTTCTCCCATCATGGAACCCATGATGGTAGCCTACACATGGTTCCACAGCAGTCATCCATCCAGACTGTGATCAGACCCACCTGGCTTCAGAAAGCCTCACAGACCTTCAGGCCATATCCTGGAACCAAGATTATAAACCCATGCTTGTGTGCTATAACTAGGGCTAGTTAAAAAATAATAATATCAAAATCACCTTATTCAGTGGGAAGGGTTATTGCTGAGTATTCTCCAGCGGGGGGTGGGGGGTGGGGGTTGGAGTCCTCTCCAATGGTCCTTCCCAAAGGTATTTCTAGAATAATATATTCAGAGAACTTCTGGAAAATCGCAAGCAAGAGCCCTTTTGCAAATGAAGACAAGGAAGGCCTACCATAGTGTTATCCCCACACAGTAAGATGCTGACGTACACCGTCGCAGGAAGAGTGAGAGACCAAAGATGCTGAACTGGAAGGACATATTCTGCATCAGTTCCCTTACCTTTTGTATCCAAGTTAAAAGACATTTCTGGTGAGCAATCAAGTTTTTGCAGTCACAGAAGTGCAGCAGAGCGTCACGGCCCATCTCGTCTCCTTCCCGACAGATAAAACATTCTTTTGACTCTAATTAAAAAGATTAATAAAGTAAGAGAACACATCAGGTTTGCATCAATCAACTGCCCATGTGGTTCTTATTATTGTAATTAAAAGTTATCTCCTCAAAATTGTTGGATGAAAGTGCCACGATCTGCAATTGAAAACACATTGAAGGGAGTTTCCCCAACTTATTCTATTTTAAACAGTCAGATTGGAGCAACGCTCTGGAGATAATGTGTTCAAAAGGGTCCTTAGAGGCAAAATGTCAGCAACCATATATTTACGTCCTTTGAGAAGCCCTTATAAAAATGTGCATTGTGCATCTTTCTGATTTTGTTGGTTTTTTTTGAAAAAAAACTGTAAAGGGGGGCGGGGGAGAGTGAAACACAGTATCAGCCAAACCCCCTTCAAGTGTACAACTACAAATGATTGTATTTGGCTTTTACTATCCATTCATTAAATCACTCCATCCTAATGCATTTCTTTATTCCACTGGGAGTTTTCATCTGGGTTTGCATAAAGGACTTGGGAGCCCTCAGGCAGAAATTCCAAGCTCTTGCCCTGGATGCAATAGTTGTTGCCCTAAGGAAGAAAGGCATTGTGGGGGAATAGTATGTGCACCGGGCCCAGAACTTGGGCCCATCTGATTGACAGGCAGCAGCCCTCCAGGATTTCAAAGACCACATCAACATTATACATTTAAAACACTACGATACCACTTTAAACAATCCCTGGAGTGGGTCAACAGTCAATGCCTCTTCATGGGGAATTATAGCTCTGTGTGGTGAGTAGGGGCCTCTTAACAAACAACAGCTCACAGAATTCTCTGAGGGAAGCCATGAGTGTTTAAAGTGGTCTTTATACTGTTTTAAGTGCTTGGTGTGAAAACGGCCAAAGAGGAATTTTGCACATGTCTTAGATGGGCAGGGATTGAAGCCTGGTGACTTCTGTGTGCATGCGGGTGATGCTGTGGTCTAAACCACTGAGCCTCTTGGGCTTGCTGATCGGAAGGTCTGTGGTTCGAATCCCCGTGACGGGGTGAGCTCCCATTGCTCTGTCCCAGCTTCTGCCAACCTAGCAGTTCGAAAGCAAGCAACCAAGTAGATAAATGGGTACCGCTGTGGCAGGAAGGTAAACAGTGTTTCTGTGTACTCTGGCTTCCATCACAGTGTCCCGTTGCACTTGAAGCGGTTTAGTGCTGCTGGCCACATGACCCAGAAAGCTGTCTGTGGACAAACGCCTGCTCCCTTGGCCTGAAAGCGAGATGAGCGCCGCAGCCCCATAGTCACCTTTGACTGGACTTAACTGTCCAGGGGTCCTTTCCCTTTACCTTACCAACTTGAATAAAATTTTGGGAGGGGGGAGGTAAGCCTTGCCTTGCATAATCAATTCCATGCCACCATGCACACACACCATTTGAATGGCAATGCCCACTGACTTTGGGGGCCCCTCAAATATTTTATTGGGGGGCAAAGAGCCCTCAGCCCCTAGGAGATGGCTCCTATGGCATGCACAGCATGTGGTTTACAGCTCTGGTGTGGGCTTGACCAAGATTTGGGGGTAAATCCATGTCCCCCTCAATAATTATGTGATTTTACAAAAATAATGAACATGACACAACCGATGATTTCAGCATTCAGTAATGCCTCTAACCTGCCTCACTCTGCTTCACCCCTTCTCAGCCTACAGCTAGGTGTGTGGGGAGAAATTTGGTTTGCATTTTAATACAGACCTACCTCATTTCCTGAAATAAAATGTGAGCTTGGAAGACAGCTAACACTTCCAAATTTGCACTTCTCTGAATTCGGTGATACAACCCAAAATATATATACCCCCAAAAATATATGCATGTATTAGGGGAGGGTGTGCCTTAAAAAGCCACTCTTGTTGGTCAAAATCAACCTACAAAAATACATTAGACAAGGGAAAATGAGTGGAGAAGAATGGAATGTTAAAAAGTGGGAGGCAGCCTCTCGGGCAACGCTGCAACCTTTGATAGCCCATATGGCATTTTCAATTAATCAAAATTCCATTTTAAGCTGTGAACAAACTGTTAATTCGCTGTCACTTACCGATGCTTTCAGACCTTGAAGAGAGCTAGAGTGAAATCAAGCCTGATCCTCAAAATATCAATTAACCACGGCAAGTAATTGATTGATGCCTTTGGTCCAGTAACCTAGCAAGAGTAACACAAGTCCATTTCTGAAGGAATCCTGAATGTTTTGAATCTGTTCCCGGTGAAACAGAAGATAATCCTGCCTTGGGGCCAAAGTAGCTAGGGATGGAGTAGAAGCTGAACAGGGAGATCCCACCACTGCAAAGTGGGTTGGGGGGGCAGAAGTGCCAACCCAAAGTGGGGACACACTGCCCTCAAACTGCCAGGAAAAAGCTCTCAGCCAGATACAAGCTCTTAAGACAGCTGAGGCTGGAGGGAATCTACCAGTAGTATCTGAGCCCAGCCTTCATGCTCTGACGGGGGTTGCCAATGCAGATTGGAGGGCCAGGAGTAGGAAATTGGCTTCTGAGAATGATTGCCCTCCACCAGTACAATTCAGAGGGTTAGCAGCAAGAAATAAATATGGAGGTGGGGTGGTAATGGGCCCAAGAGAAAATACATATCACGATCCTTTAACCTTCATGAAAGCTCCACATGGGAGCCAACTCCTAGGGCCAAGGTCCCTTCAGCACCCCCAATGAAACATTTGAGGGGGCTGGGCCAGCCGAAGTTCATGGCCATGGCCATTCAAATGGTGTCTGTCTCTGTGTGTGTGTGTGTGTGTGTGTGTGTGTGCCACAACTTATGATTGATTATATGGGGCGGGCCTTACCTCCCCCTTCAATATTTTACATAACCTCCAATATTTCTCCGATGAAAATAGGGATGTCCTATTCCATAATAATAATTTTAGTATTTAAAGCCCACCCATCTGACTTCCCTCTACAAAACTGCCTGCAGATGGCTCTGGGGTCATACTCTCCAACACTTCTTTGATGAAAATAGGGACATCCTACCACACCCTCCAACATTTCTCTGGTAAAAATAGGGACGTCCTAAGGAAAAGTGGGGCATTCCAGGAACAAATCAGACACTGGGACGGTGTCTGTAAATCTGGGACTGTTCCTGGAAAATAAGGACACTTGGAGGGTCTGTATTTTATTCAAGTTGGCACCCATGCTTGCCCACACTCTCTAGAAGAGGAAACCAACTGCAGAGGACTCTGCAGTCAGTTCAACAGATCTTTATCTTTGTGGGGGGGTGGGGTGGAGTTTGCACAGATTTCCATATCTATTAGCCCCAATAGTTTCATGGAAAGCTAAGATACAGATACCCCTGAATAGCAGGTGCTGGATCCAAACAACCAGGAGAGGCTCATGCCCTTCTTGTGAACTTCCCAGAGGCGTGTGGCTGACCGCTGCTGGAAGCAGGATGGCAGGCCAGCTGGATTTTGGTCTGGTCTAGCATGTTGATGCTTATTGGAGGGGGGAGGGGAAGCACACAATATGGTGTTGATGCCATGACAGAAGACGAAGAAAGAACGAAACGCTTCCTGTATCTGCTTCAAGCAAACAAGACGGCTGTGCACTGTGTTCACCACTTCACTTGCGAGCCTAATGCATGTTTTTTTTTGTAGAACCGAATGCAGTGGAAATAAGAGTAATGACGCCAGGTGTCTGATAGGGAAAGCTTGTTAGGGCCCACACTATGTATGACAAATTGTTCAGGAAATGTGACCCATCTATGGCTTCAGTATCTCCACCACTTATGGTACTCTGCTGAGTAAGGGTTAGCTATGTAAATTAAAGCTGCCTCTGGATACAGTACTTTTCACTTGCGCTTAGAATCTGCTGGGTTCTCTAAAACACACACACAACTTTTGAGAATTAAATATGTGACACACTTCCCCGTTCTTTCCTTTGTTCTGTCTAACTTCGAGGGCTGCAACCCTAAGCACATTTCCTTGGAAGTAAATCCTATTTTAAAATCTGTCTGGACTAGCTTCTAAGCAAACATGGATAGGATTAGGCCATTGGTGTCTTTAAAGAGTGTCATACCCACCATGGGTAGGAAGGAGAGATTGCTTACCCGCCAACATTTATCCGATGAAAAGAGGGACCGCCCCATTCCATAATAATAATTTTACTATTTATACTCCATACATCTTACTGGGCTGCCCCAGTTACTCTGGGCAGCTTCCAACATATATAAAAACATAATAAAACATTAAACATTGAAAAGATTTCCTTATACAGGATTGCCATCAGACGGCTTGGGGGGTCAGAGAATTCCATACCGTCCTACATTTCTCCAATGAAAATAGGGACATCCTAAGGAAAAGTGGGACATTCTGGGATCAAATCAGAAACTGGGACGGCTTCTCTAAATCAGGAACGTCCCTGGAAAATAGGGACACTTGGAGGGTCTGAGATTACAACCAGCTAATCACCTTGGTTGTAATTGCTCTGCGATATGGCTGGGAAAGCAGAGCAGGCTGGCCAGTTCTGGGGGGTGGGGTGGGGGAGCGAAAGTAGCCAAATTGTTTTAGATGAGGCAGCGTAATAAGAGCCCTCTGCATAAATTCAGCACGCCCAAATTGGACATTCATAAACCCTCCCCAAAGAGTTCACTAGTAACGGGAAACTTGGCACAGCAAACTGGATTATATATTCATTCCTCTGAAATATTAGTATGCCTTCACACCCCTCTGCCATGGGCCCAACCTTCCAAAAAGCCTCTCAAAACTCTTGCTACGTTTTGCACTACCGAGAGCGGCACGCACAACGCTCAGTCCTTCTGCTGCCTTGCCGTACCCCATCAAGCGGCCTCAAATTAAACAAGCTTCTCCTCCCCTCCCCCCGCCAAATAAACATCAGACTGGCCAGTTGAGAAAAAACACATCCAAATACCCATTTTAGGTTTCAGTGTAGAACATGAGGTCAGCAGCACTGATTAGTAGTTCTGGGCTGATTGTCTTGTACACATTTCTCAGAGGTTCTGCTTCATCATTAATAGTTTCTAGGTCAACTGACTACTTCTATTAAGATGCAGTTTGAAATTAGGGTTAATAAAGTGGGGGATAAATTAAGATTAATAAAGTAGTTTTAAGAGAACCAGAAGAAAGTCTGGGCTTTGGCACTGCATAAATTATAGCAATTTAACTATTTAAAGAAGACTCCCTTGGATTTATTGACTTAGTCTTGTCCTTAATAACCAGTACTTATGTGCATGTATCCTGTTGGGACTGGACGCAGGGAAATCCAAATTACATCACATTACTGATGTCCTCTAACTTGGCATCAAGCACTCCAACTGAAATTTACAAGCAGGAGAACGCTGCAACGTTAAATGAAAAAATCAGCCAGAACTTATTAACAACATGGGTGTTTTAATTAGTCCATAGGGCAAAATGTGGTGCAGTCAGGATAGGATGGGCTTTGCATAAAAGAAAACATGAAATCAAGTTTTTGTGCGGCCATGGGGCTGGCAAGACAAATTACTCTCTTTAATAACCTGAATTCTATGGGCATGAAACGGAAAGAATGACCTACTGGGGAAGATGAACATGAAATACTGGATAGTTCTTTGCACATATCTTCCACTATATAACATAAACCTCGTAACTTCTTTTAAATAACAAACACAGGTTGTTGAGTGCTGATGGCTATGTAGCCAAAATGGCCCCACCCACAAGCATGAAGGACACACACTGAGGCATTCAAAAGTATGTTTTTTAAACAAATACTACCCCATAGCAACCTTACCATCCCAAATCCACTATTAGAGGGCAGATACCATGATATCGCAGTAGAACAGAGATGATGTCCATCTAATTCTGATGAGATTGAATCCATTGAGCATATATATTGCCCACTATATCGCAACGCAGGTGGCGCTGTGGTCTTAAACACTGAGCCTTTGGGGCTTGCCGATTAGAAGGTCGGTGGTTTGAATCCCTGCAATGGAGTGAGTTCTTGTTGCTCTGTCCCAGCTCCTGCCAACCTAGCAGTTCGAAAGCATACCAGTGCAAGTAGATAAATAGGTACCACTGTGGCAGGAAGGTAAATGGCGTTTCTGTGCGCTGCTCTGGTTTCACCAGAAGCAGCTTAGTCATGCTGACCACATGACCCAGAAAAACTATCTGCGGAGTGGACAAACACCTGCTCCCTCGGCCTGTAAAGCGAGATGAGCGCCGCAACCCCAGAGTCATCTGCAACTGCACTTAGCTGTCAGGGGTCCTTTACCTTTACCTTTTATATCGCGATACACGGCGGGAGCTAATTCAACCATTATTAAGGGAACTACCTGGCCACTCAGAGAAGACTTATGTTGGATACCTTCTTGCTGACAAAGATCTGAATGTCACCAGGCCTGTTGTGAAATTCTGTTTTGTGGCAACGAGAACAAGGCAGGCTGTGGTGACAGCGATGGTCGGTGAATGCATACTGATTTCAAACTCTGGATGATAGATTTTATCTGGAGTGTTTTTAAAAAATGTTAATAAGTATATAGGGAACTGTTATTTTTGTCTACTACGTCCACCTCTTGGTGCTGATGCAGTACATGTTGCTGATGTTATTTCTGTTGTCTGGTCTTTGACCGCAATAAAGATTGATTGGCCACCCCAGACCACACACATATGGGCTGCACAAGTGGGGCCTAGAAGCAGGAGGGGAGAACGAAAATGTGCACAGACCAGCACACTAGCTAATGGAGCCACATCTGCTTGAAAGCTCTTCAATGTTGCACCAGAGAAGTCTGAACTGGTAGCTCCACAGTGGGAGGCAGAAGTGCTTCTAAATACAGTAGTACCTCTGGTTACAGATGCTTCAGGTTACAGACTCTTCAGGTTCCAGACTCCGCTAACCCAGAAATAGTACCTCAGGTTAAGAACTTTGCTTCAGGATGAGAACAGAAATCACGCGGCGGCAGTGGGAGGCCCCATTAGCTAAAGTGGTGCTTCAGGTTAAGAACAGTTTCAGGTTAAGAACAGACCTCCCGAACGAATTAAGTTCTTAACTTGAGGTACCACTGTACTGGAAACCACAGGAGGGGAGAGTACTCTTTGTACTCGAATCCTGCTTGTGGGTTTCCCACAGGCATCTTGTTTGGCCACTTTGGGAACAGAACATTGGACAAGATGGACCACTGGCCTGATCCAGCAGGCTCTTCTTATGTCCTGATGCTCTGGGACAGCTTGGGATCTAATGGCTTGGGAATTAATGGACTTCACTCCACAGCCAAGAAGTGACCCATTTTTTGGGGGGGGGTGATCTTCTGGCTACTGCTGGCTTCGGATCCCCACACTTTTGGTGGGCCCACCAGGGATCTCCACAGTTGTGGAGGCCTCCCACCAAACCCTCTCCAGATTGAGAGTTTTGATTGCTCTGTAAAGCAGGAGTGCAGGGCCCTTAGACAGTGACGGTGAGAGCCCTGGTCCAAATAAAGGCTAAGGCTGCAATCCTTAGTGTGCTTACTATGGAGTAAGGAATAATCTGAAATCATTTCCTGGCATGTGACCAGAATCACTGAGATGCTGACCCAGCACTGATTGCACCGCTATGCCTTGTTCAGCAACATCACTCTGAAGATGAGTCAGTGATGATTATAAGTTATCATGTACCAGTTGGAGACCGAAAGCTCCTCAGAAGAGGTGCATTTCCCAAACATTCCAGATTATAAACTACTCCGCAACACTATTATGCATAGCTTCTAAAGTGCTATACAAGCTTTATAACAACCTCATTTTCCCGGTAGGATTCTTATCGGGTTTCGATTGGACACACTGCCTGAATTTCAATGGTGCACCACCAATTTACACCAGACAAGGACCTGACTGACTAACCATAATGAGACTCTTGTGGCTGAAGCCTTCACAGAACAATCTGAGGATATATGGCAAGGACTGACAAAGCCAAAAAAACACAAATAAATAAAAGTTAGGGCTGACATTCCATTCATATTTCATTCCATTTTATTCAGTTATGCTTGCAAAGAGTTGCTATCATGCAAACCTGGCTGAAAGAAAGCCAGCAATCTTCACTACAAACTCGTCTTATCCTGCTGGAGGCAACTGTATTCTTGCTGCTTGCAATGGCCAAGGCATTGTGGCGTGGTGGTGAGAGTGTTCGACTTGGACTGAGGAGACCTGGGCTTAAATCCCCATTCATATCTTGTATTTACTGGGCGACCTGGGCCAGTCACAGCCTTCACAGGATTGCTGTGAAGATAAAATGGTGGGGGGAGGGGAAGAGAAACATATATACTGATCTCTGCTCCCTGGAGAAAGGGTGGAAATAAAAATGCAATTCATTTACAGTGGTACCTCGGGTTACATACGCTTCAGGTTACATACGCTTCAGGTTACAGACTCCGCTAACCCAGAAATAGTGCTTCAGATTAAGAACTTTGCTTCAGGATGAGAACAGAAATCGTGCTCCGGCGGCCCGGCGGCAGCAGGACGCCCCATTAGCTAAAGTGGTGCCTCAGGTTAAGAACAGTTTCAGGTTAAGTACGGACGTCCGGAACGAATTAAGTACTTAACCCGAGGCACCACTGTATTTATGGAAGAATCTTAACACTGCTTTACTAATGCATATGAGTTACCCAAGACACAGACTGCTTCCATTGTGTAAGATGAAAAGGACAAACAGAGCTGTGGATCACCAGCATATTGATAACAACACACTCGAAATCCCTGAACTATCTCTCTTCCAGTGGCTTTAAGCAGATGTTAAGCAATAGGAAGGAAGGGGCAAAACTGATCCCTGAGAGACACCATGTTACCAGTAGCCTTGGCAAAGAACACAATCTCCCCAATATTGTCTTCCAAACCTGAGTCCCAAGGAAGCACTTGGTCCACAGCAAAATGCCCCCAACCAAACCCACCCCCTCCAGGCACTGCAGAAAGAGACCACACATTAGCCTTAATCCTGTGTCATCCTCATATCCATTTTATCCACTTACGCTATGGTGATGCTGGAAGCAACCCCTCCCCCCAATAATTAGCTGTGCATCCTTTTGGTTAGGTTTTAAAAAATTAAAATGTCCAAAAAGATTGGTTGAGAGCCTATGCTGCCAAGCCAGAACATAAATCTTCCCTAAACGTAAGGAAATTTACGATGAAGGGAAAGGCCAGGTTCGAGTTTGGGTCTTCTCGGAACGACAATCACAAAGATGAGGTTAAGTCTAAAAATAGAGGAATCAGATCTTGGAGCAACGGGCACTTTCTTCTTTACCAGTTTAAAACTCCCACAAGAGTCATTCCTCAGTTGGCATGATCTGTGCAGTTCATTGTCCTTACCGAAACCACACACATACGATAATACCACCAATGTGGATGGGAGTATTATTACTACTATTCTAGTAATAATTATTCCTACTATTACTACTATAATACTACTATTATTATTATTCCACCCAAAGGAGCCCAGGATGGCAAACGCATCAGTGATAAAACAATACAATCAATAGTAAAATAAAACCATATTCAAAACAACAGAAAGCCTCTAAAAGCAATTAAAACATCTCAAAACAAGTAAAACCATCCTCTTCTCTCACAGCTAATAATTTCAAGGTCGCCAGGAACAGCATCTTCCGACTGCTGTCCAAATTTTTCATACTACCCTGTTTTGAAGACCTGCATGTTGCCAGCACCAAATGTTTCCTGAAGAGACGTTCAAAAAGCCGCAGGACAAATACTGAGCGATCTATCCCGTTTCATTTTTTGCTAGCCAACTCTGGCATTCCAGAAGTTTAAGGAAACTCCAGGCATGTTTCCCTAAGCATCTTGGCGATAACCTTTGGCGTGCCAATCCACTCAACATTTCCCCAATCCTTTAAGAATCCCTTTGTCTTAACGGGGCTCTCAACATGTCACAGCAATGGGCTTCGCAGATCAGTCATGCATTATATTTCCAGGCATTTATCCACTACTTAACGGTCTGGGTTCCAAGTACAGTGGCAAGTCAGCCTGCCTGATCTTAAGAAGGCCAAGGCCAGAGCTGTCTCTCTACTGGCCCAGCTCTGTCATGTGACCCAGGTGAAGCACTGAGATACAGGAATACCATCATCATCATCACAGAACAAACACCTAAGGAAAAGATACCTTTCCACAGAGTTGGGAAAGGTTGTCAAACCCAAAATGCCTCCAATTGTTTTCAGAAAGTACATTTCGTCGGGCGCCTGTCACACCTCAGCAGGGATGCTGTTCCACACAGAAAGCCATGCTCCAAGTTTTACTGCACAGCAGGCTTCCGATATTGTAGCAGCTTCAAGGAGAAACTGTCCTGCAGAACACAGTGACCTTCTGGTAGGGGTGGGCTTACCCATCAATTACTGTTTCTCTCATTCCCCCCCAATTTTTTCAATTCTCCACATTGGTTAGTGATTTAAAAATAATAAGGGTAATCATCATCATGAAAATTCATCAGCAACGTAGTGCAATTTTCTCTTATAGATGAATTCTTGCGTGCAATTTTGCCCGCCACAAACACTTTTTGCAAAACAATTTCTCTTAATATAATGCATTTTTTCATTCCGTTTCCACTAATACATGGCATTTTTATGCAAAATGTACCCCACCATATGCATTTTTGTACACATTACTTGGCTGGAGATCTGCACTGCAAATTCAGGGCAAGTGCCAATTTTGTGGCCGTGTTTCAGTTCCCATATAGTTTGGGAAAGAGCAAATTAGGTAGATTCGACTTTAAACGGAATCAAAATTCTCTCCAGTTCCTATCTAATGGGTATATAAGGGATTAAAGAGGCTTCTGAAATATTCAGGTCCCGAGCTGCATAGTGCATTAGACGTCAGTACCAAAACTTTGAATATGGCCCAGTATGGCCAGTGGGAAAAGATAACTGTTGTCTTTTCACCTTCCAGTGGGTATGGCCAAAGCCCCAATTTCTGTCTTGCAGTAGCAATTGGAGGAGGCAAGTGTTGGTTCAGGCTATACAAAAGGATAAACGACAAGCCCCTTTTTCCTCAGTCGGCTCTGCCCTATATTTAACGGCACGGTATCTCTGGTAATGGAGCTGCCCAAACTCCAGCAATTTCTTCATCTTCCTAGTGCCTGAAGGATTAACAGTATGCTGGCATTGTGTTAACTTCTGTACTGCTTTATTTCCCCCTTTCTCAAATTGTTCTTGCCTTTTTGGCCTCTCCGTGATTGAACAGATGTTTTCAGTGAACTCTTGACAAAGAAGCCAAGTTTCCCTCTCCCTCCCTCCCCCCCGCTCGCAACTCGACTTTCACCAACATAGTATGTGTGTACTCTGCACACTCCACTATTTAATCACATCGATGCAAAGAAGGTACCAGGAGGTGCCAAGGCACTCCTGCAAAAGGATCAGAAACACTGAAATTGCTGTGACAATAGGCATGTGCACACAACTTGCAAAGAGGGAGAAGTTATATCTTGTAGTGAACCACTGCCCAAGATCTTTATTTTATGTGGTGTTCTGGATTTTGGATTTTTATTTTAATATAATGTTATGGATTTTGGATGTTTCTTTTACATAATTTACTGGATCTTGGATCTTTATTTTATAGAATGTTTCAGATTCCACACACACACCCCCCGCCCAATTCAAGAAAATGGGAAAGGCAGTGATTATAAACCCATTTTGACCTGCACATGAATGAAGCAGCTCAGCTACGGTATATGAGGGTCACTGCTTGCTCCCTCCTGATTTCCTCAAAAATAAAACGGGATTTTTGAGTGTTCCTGTGGATGATTTTAAAAGCCTCCAAGGGTTTCGTTAGTGTTTGATAGCACGCCCTCTTCCCAAAGGGAGAAAAAATGCCTTGTCCGAGGGAATAAGTCCTGAAAGCCAATGGGACAGTAACAGGTAAATCTTAGTGCCTCAGTCAGCACCAGTGCTTTTTTGGGGGGGGGTACTCAAGGGCAGGGATGCGGGTGGCACTGTGGGCACTGTGGGTTAAACCACAGAGCCTAGGACTTGCCGATCAGAACGTTGGCAGTTTGAATCCCCGCGACGGGGTGAGCTCCCGTTGTTCAGTCCCTGCTCCTGCCAACCTAGCAGTTTGAAAGCGTGTCAAAGTGCAAGTAGATAAATAGGTACCGCTCCAGCAGGAAGGTAAACGGTGTTTCCATGCACTGCTCTGGTTCGCCAGAAGTGGCTTAGTCATGCTGGCCACATGACCCGGAAGCTCTACGCCGGCTCCCTCGGCCAGTAAAACGAGATGAGCGCCACAACCCCAGAGTCGGCCACGACTGGACCTAATGGTCAGGGGTCCCTTTACATTACTCAAGGGCATGCAGTCCCAGCACCTCTTTCTTTTGTTGTTGAAAAGTGTGGCACTTAATGTAACAACTTCATGGTGAGTACTGGTACCTATTTTTCTAGGAAAAAAAGCTCTGGTTAGCACCATAGAGATTCAACTGCTGTCCAAGAAAGACAACCCATAGAAACAGAAGTTGACTCAAAGACATGTAAATAGCTTCATTTATAAACATATAGATTCCCCCCCCCCCCGGGGTGTAGTGTGCGTGGTGTAGTGTGTGGGTGTGGGTGTGTGGGTGTGTGAATGCTGAAGTAATCTGCTAGTTTTTATTTACTCCCACTGGTGTGAAGAAGTATCTCAGATCCTTAGGTTCACATGTTTTGAAGATATCTGAAGGCAGCCCTGTTTAGGGAAGTTTTTAATGTTTTATTGTATTTTTAATATTTTGTTGGAAGCCACCCAGACTGGCAGGGGAAACCCAGCCAGATAGGTGGGGTATAAATTGTTGTTGTTGTTGTTGTTGTTGTTGTTGTTGTTGTTGTTATTATTATTATTATTATTTCTGAACTAATTTTCATTGGACAAATAACACCCCTCCTTTGCAAAAAAGAAAAAAGAAAAAGCTGTATCGACAGATGGACCTGCAATCCTGTGTGCATGCAACTCACATAGAGAAGATGCTACTGGATGGAGGACCTCTCACAAGCTTGCAGATTTGCATACAAAGGCAGCAAAAAAGCAACAGTGAAACTGACCAGCTTTCTTTCCAAATCTACAGCATATCCAGGAGCCCCTTGCAGTGAAGACATGAAATCGACAGGAGGAGAGGTGGGAGGGGGGGAGACAGGAGGCGGTTGTGCAGAAAAGCCCCAGATGCCCTTCCTATTGTGCATTTATGCTGATTTCTGCCCATGAAGATATCTGGGCAGTTAGACACAATCCAGCTTTGAATTGCACCTGCAAAAGTTTCGGTCCAGACGTGGTGCTTCATTTCCAGTCAGCTCATACCCCATAACTTCCTGAAATCTTGTAATGTTCCAGGGTTCATTTTTGTCTCACATTTCTTGAGCTATAGAGCAAGAGGACCGCTTCAGACAGCAATAATGCTACAACAGGGACGCGGGTGGCGCTGTGGTCTAAGCCACTGAGCCTCTTGGGCTTGCTGATCAGAAGGTCGGCGGTTCAAATCCCCGCAATGGGGTGAGCTCCTGTTGCTCTGTCCCAGCTCCTGCCAACCTAGCACTTCAAAAGCACATCAGTGCAAGTAGATAAATAGGTACCACTGTGATAGGAAGGTAAATGGTGTTTCCGTGCATTCTGGCACTCGTCATGGTCCTCTGTGCACTAGTAGCGGTTTAGTCATGCTGGCCACATGACCCAGAAAGCTGTCTTGTGGACAAAAACAGGCTTCCTCGGTCTGAAAAGCGAGAGGACCACCGCACCCATAGTCACCTTTGACTGGACTTAACCATCCCGGGGTCCTTTACCTTTTACCTTTACCTAATGCTATAGCATCGGGGAAGCATTGCAGAACAGCCAATAAAGCAGAATGATGTGTGGATTGTCCAGTATAAATCTACCACTAATGGACTACTATTGCCTCTATGGGGTACTCTTGGGGTAGGGGTGAGGCATCAAGTTTTACTCTCACACTGTTTCAGAAGTAACTTCTGAAACAGGCCTTGAGTTGGTGAACCATCTCAAATCTTTGTTGGGGCAGATACACTGTTCTGGCAAGCAGATACCCTCCAACATTTCTCTGATGAAAATAGGGATGTCCTATTCAACAACAGCAACAACTTTATTATTCATATCTTCGCCATCTGACTGGGCTGTCCCCACACTCTGGGTAGCTTCCAACATAAATAAAAACATAATAAAACATTAAAAAACCTCCCTGTACAGGGTTGCCTTTGAATGTCTTCTAAAGGTTGTATAGTTACTTATCTCCTTGGCTCGGGAGTTGCCTAACTCCATACCCTCCAACATTTCTCTGATGAAAATAGGTACCTCCTAAGGAAAAATGTGACATTCTGGGATCAGATCAGAAACCAAGACAACTTCTGTAAATCTAGGACTGTCCCTGGATAACAGGGTCACTTGGAGGGTCTGCAAGCAGATACAACAGTGGACAAATTAGAAATTGTATAATCATTTTAAAAAAATAAGAAGGGGAAAGAATCATTTTCAACATGGCCAACAACTATCCAGTTTAATGGATTCACTTTTCTGCAAATGTTCTCTTTAGCTCAACACTGCTCATTTTTATGCATTAGTACAATACACAGAAAGAGCCACAAACATAGGCTGCATGCTTTCAGATCCCCTACTGTATGAATCAGTCCCCTAACACTTTATGATTTATGCAGCTTGCCAGTGGAGAAGTAGGCCATTCCAGCCTTGAAAGCACTTTAGCTTGGCTGCTTTTACTCATGAAGGACATGCTGTCCTGTAATTATTTTGTCATTTCTTAAAAAGGTAAAATCCTTAACAGGTTCGTGCAATATGTGCAGCTGTGTGTACGCGTGAGTTGCTGTCTGACTTTATTTCATGGAGCTGGGATCATCACCCCCAACGACTTTACTAAGCGCTACATAGCGAAACTTCAGACAACTGAAAACGTGCTAAACATTTTCCGAGTTCCTGGTGCAGGGGATGTTTCAGGGGCATTTAGTACCGTAACGCCATGGGGTGGAGGGCATCGTGAATACAGCCCCATTGACTAATCCTGATTCAGCCAAACTAAAACCAGCTGCTACCTCATCTTTTAGGCCAACTAAAATGACACAAAATAGTGCACAAGCTTCCGTGTTTTTGAGAACTCTGAAAAGAAAAGAAAAAGCAGGCGGACAGGATAAGGAGAGAAGAAGCCGGCTGAAGCTGAAGTCGTGGATTCTGTACAAGTCTTAAGATACAAAGTGGGAGGAGGCAGCAGACGTTAACATGCCCTCCAAGTGTCTCAGTTTTCCAGGGACTTTCCCGGAATTATGAAAGCCATCCTGGCTTCTGATTTGGTCCTGGAAAGTCCCTATTTCCCCTGCCAGTGCCGTCGCTGCTGAGCTCGGGGCGGAAGATGAGCTGGCACTTGTCCAAAGTGTCAGTAGATGAAGCTGGGCAGCTGCGAGTGAGTAGCTCTTTGCCTATCTATGGCCTCTCCATGGCTGCCGCTGCCAGCCTCCACCCTTGAGCAGCTTGTGGTGGCTGCTGGAGAGCGGGCAACGGGCAGGACAGGCTGCAGCTTCCATGGCCCAGCCCCGCATGATGTGCTTGCTCTGAGGGGCAGTCAGAGGGCAGGCGCGCCCTGGACAGGAATAAAGGGAGAGCAGAGTGGAGCACAGGGAGTCTGTTTAGGGAAGCTTTTAATATTTGGCAGACTATTGTATTTTAATATTTTGTTGGAAGCCCAGAGTGACTGGGGAAACCCAGCCAGATGGGTGGGGTATAAATAATAAATTGTTATTGTTGTTGTTGATGATGATGATTTTCTTATTTTATTTTTAAAAATGTTTTCTGCATCCATGGCTAATCTTGCCACTTTCCAAAATTTACTTTTCTTTTTGTGAATTTACCGAATAATAAATGGCCTCGGCCCAGTATACCTGAAGGAGCGTCTCCACCCCCGTAATTCAGCCCGGACACTGAAGTCCAGCTCTGAGGGCCTTCTGGGGGTTCCCTCACTGCGAGAAGTGAGGTTGCAGGGAACCAGGCAGAGGGCCTTCTCGGTAGTGGCGCCCACCCTGTGAAACACCCTCCCATCAGATTCAAGGAAATAAAAAACTATGTGACTTTTAAAAGACATCTGAAGGCAGCCCTGTTTAGGGAAGCTTTTAATGTTCGATGTTTTATCATGTTTTTAATATTTTGTTGGGAGGCGCCCAGAGTAGCTGGTGAAACCCAGCCAGATGGGTGGGGTATAAGTAATAAAATTATTATTATTATTTCATCATCATCATCATCATTAAATAAAATCAGAATTAAGGGGTTTTCTCAGGACAGCATAGGGTGGGTGTGTTCTGTTGGCGCGGTGGGGGCACTCACCCTTCTGCTGATAGGAAATGCTCTGTGGGTGTGGGATACAAAAATGGGGAGTTAAGGAGTGTCACTTGGAGTGAGGAGTGAGAAATGTCCCCATTTTTATTTGAGGAATGTTGGAGACTGACTGTGCTGGGCAGGTGGCAGGTTGTGTTTAGGCCCCATCTGAAACATACTGTAGCCCTAAGACATTGTCATCCTTCTGATGGGGGCATGTCTGATGACGGTGGAAGCCTCATGAGACTTCATCTTGAGGGGAGGGTATGAGTGGAATCACATGGCCAACCTGGGCCAATTGTTTGGAGAACTGGTGTGTTGTATACAAGGCATTGTGTCCTTTCCCTCAAGGACTTCTTCATTTCCTTCACTACCTAACCCTCCTATCCTTAGGGCAGTTGTGCCAGGGGGTCAGTAGGTTGTTTATTTTTTACTGTACCACAATTGGCCTTTGGTCTCCCCTTTTATACATCCTTCACACCATCCTCAATCAGATTGGCTTGCAATTTGAGTTTTTGCTTTAGCTGTTCCAAGTTAATTGGGAAGGTAAGTTGTAAGCACCACAAAGCTCTGCTGCAGAATCTCAATACAGTCACACCTTGGTTTTTGAACAGCTTAGTTCTCGAACATTTTGGTGTTCTGTGACTGTTCCGGTTTGCAAACTATTTTTGGAAGCCGAATGTTTGACGGTGCTTCCACAGCTTCCAATTGGCTGCAGGAGCTTCCTGCAGCCATTCAGAAGCTGTGCTTTGGTGTCCAAACGTTTTGGAAGTCGAACGGACTTCTGGAACGGATTCCATTCGACTTTCAAGGTATGACTGTACACTGCCAGAAACAAAGGCCTTTATTGTCCGGAGAACCTCTGCCACTCCACACAGTGAAGGTACCTCCTGTCCTCCTGCTCCAGCTGCCTCCTTCTTCTACAGAAAGAAAAAGACAGCCTGCAACATTCAGTTTCTTTAATGTTCTAGCTAAAAGCAAACAAATGCCTTCTCTGTTCTCTGTTCTCCGCTCTCCACCTCCGCTGATTTAATAGGTGCATTACTATGTGTATAATGGTTACTGGTGTGTAAAGAGCGGAATTAGGAAAGTGGAGGAACAGGAACATCCAGGAACTGGGACTCTTTGATTAACACACCTCTATACTTAATATGCACTTAAGCCATTGATCAGTTAATTGCACTAGCTATTCAATTAAGGCATTCATGCCTGTCACGGTATGCTCCAAATGTACCATATATACTTATTATACACTTAAGCCATTGATCAGTTAATTGCACCAGTTATTCAATTAAGGCATTCATATATGCCTCCTACAGTTCACTGTAAAATGTGTACCATATATACTTATAGGCAGCAAATTATCCCGGGCAACAATTGGTAAACATTCCAAATTGCTATCGAATGAGGTGACTCATTCATGCTCATTCCTATGGGTGGCTTGTTCCTGAACAACAAGACTAAGACTCATTCTTTGCTGAAATGTGAACACGGCCAATAGGGAGAATTTTATACTAAGGGCATACCCATAGAGCTCATATTTGGGGCCAAAGATGCACATATGCATCTGATCTGGCAGAGGTGACTTGAGTAGACAACTGGCTTCCTACCATGAAGAAGAAGAAGAAGAAGAAGAGGAGGAGGAGGAGGAGGAGGAGGAGGAGGAGGAGGAGGAGTTTGGATTTGATATCCCACTTTATCACTACCCTAAGGAGTCTCAAGAGGCTAACATTCTCCTTTCCCTTCCTCCCCCACAACAAACACTCTGTGAGGTGAGTGGGGCTGAGAGACTTCAGAGAAGTGTGACTAGCCCAAGGTCACCCAGCAGCTGCATGTGGAGGAGCGGAGACACGAACCCAGTTCACCAGATTACAAGTCTACCGCTCTTAACCACTACACCACACTGGCTCTCAGTGTTTATGTGCACCATAAAGAAAAGGTCTCAGCCTTTCTCTATTGTTTTTTAGATGTTCCTCAAGGTTTTGACTCCACTGTGGAATACCCCCTCTCTAAAACAAGTCTAACACTGCATACAGCATTAAAATATAACAGTTGTGGGTTTTTTTGTACTTCTGCAAAACCTGAGGTCCACCTAAGCGTTTTGATACTGGGGTGGACTTTGGAACTATGGTGCCCTGAGCTAAACCAAAATTTGGCGAGCCCCCCAGCCCTCGTGCCGTACCAGGCTTCAAGAAGGAGGCATGAGGGCTCAGCAGGGTCCTAGAGCCCTCCTACCTCATTCCCAAAGCTGGGCAAGCACTAACTAGGCTTTGGAAAGGAGACAGAAGGACTCTAGGACCCTGTCAGAGCCCTTATGCCTCCTTCCTGTAGATGGGAAAGTACTTCCCAGGACTATCTCTGCCCAGCGCCCAGTGTGGGAGAACCGGTTGTGCTGCCTTATTTTTTTAGTTGCTGTTTTGTTAACACTGTTTTATAGTTTATAAATGCCTTATTGGTCTGTTCATCGTTAAATGACTTATGCCGCATTCGTGATGTTCAGCTAATATCTTTGTTGCTGGTTCGTTAATAGTATTTCATAGATTGCAACCATCTTACTGATGACGTGTTAATTATATCACATGCTTCATGCTGTACTCGTGATGTTCTATTATGTTATTGTTATTTATTGGTTGTAAGCTGCTTTGGGGTTCATTTGAATGGAAAGCAGCACAAAAAAATACAATCAATCAGTCTGGTGGACCCCTTCAGCTAGAGAGCAGTCCTCTGTAAGACAGAGCACCTGGTCAACCTAGCTATTCACATAATGGCTGTGCATATCACTGGGCAACCTCATCATTATTTTAAGGTAAGGAACAACAAGAGACAGGCCCTCTCTCCAACCCTCTTCATGGATTATAGAGGGGAGAAAATCCCTTTACTTCTTCCCACAAAACCCCTGAACCTACTTGTTTTTTGCAGTTATACAGGAAGGGCTTTTGTTTATTCATATATATTTCATTCCACCTTCCTCAATAGTTAACAGACTTTTTTAGATTCCCCATTATACTGAAAAGGGACCAGAGTTTTGTCTTTACGCACAGCAGCTGAGAACCTGAAACACAGAACAAAGCAGACATAGCACAGAGAGGCTCAGAAACAGATCTTTACTTTCTTTCTTTTTAACAGATACAAGGCAAATCTTGAGGCCTTGCACCCCTCTAAAAATAGAGATGAAACAGGGAGACTGATTCATCGGGACAGATACCACAAAACTAGAACTGGCCCTAAATAACAGGGACAGCAGGAACCTAAGCATGAATCACTGCTCTGGGGGTAAATCAAGAAAGACTCCTGTGGCACCTTAAATCTATAGGGGGCTTCCAGGGGAAAAAACCATAATGTTATAAATGGGTCTTTCAGATATTGCAAATGGGTCCTTGGCAATAGGATTTTAAAACTAATCAGATTTTTTTTTTCCTGTGGAAAGGGTAAATATGGAATAAATGGGGGGAATGATGGTCTGGAATTTTGATAGAATTTTGATAGATATGGTGTATGGATGCTATTTAAAAATAAAGGAGTGTGAATCCTGCAATGGATACCAGCATGGAAAAACCCTACTAAATTAATTGTGGGATTAGCTTCTATGGCGTTCAGTCTGCTTCATTGGATACATACAGCAGATTTCATGGGGTTTGGGCCACAAAGCCCTGTGTCATTATAAATTTGGTAGTCTATGGAGCCACACAACTCTTTGCAACAACAAACTCACAAAGCTACTTCTCTGGAACTGCTCTGGAAGAAGGCTGCCTCTTTTCAATCCTTTGGGGTTTAAGAATTAATTCAGCCTATAATTCAAATATGCATGTTTGTGTGTGTGTGTTAGAAATGGAGGAGAAACTTGATTCAGAACACATTTGAAGTCAAATCTATCAAATTTGCACTTTCTGGGGAAGAACATGCAAACACAACCACAGCTAACTGTTGAAATTCGCATCTAGCTGAATTTTGCGATGTAGCTTTCAATGGTTACAAAAATTCATTATATTAGGGGGAATTGCTTGCAAAAATGTGTACATCAGTCAAAACTGCATATAAAATGTATTTATTAGGATAAATTCATACTAAAATGCTGGTTAATTTTCAGAATGCTGGTGGAAATCCCATAAGGATTTTTTTCCGTTTTTGAAAGCCACATTCTGATAAATGTCGATAACTGAATTTAAGATTAGAAAAATGACAGAGTGAGAAAACCAAAAGTCACCGATCCTTCTCCATAGTGTGGGCATGTATGTATGTGTATATAGCCTCAGCCACCAGAAATTTGGGGAACACTGGTCTAAATCAGCAGCATACTTCCATAATCATTGAAAAAACGTGATGTTATCAGGACAAAAATGACCTTTCCACCTTTCGGGTTTCCTCCAGCAATGGTGGCAATATGCACATTTTCTGAAGGAAGTTAACTTCCCAGTTGCAGCTGCTCTTCCAATTGCCCAGCTTGAACTAGTTTCAGTAAAACCCTTAATGTCCCTTAACCATAATGTACCCGTGTTGTATTTTAATTTTAAAAGGATTATCGAGAAAATCTACCCTTTCCTTCAACTCTCTTTGAAAAACTGGTAAGTGTTTTAGTCGATATCCACTAATATCCTCACCCACTCTTAATCAATTATCAACAATGAAGTGTGTAACAGTGAGAGGGAAATATCCAAATTTTTTAACGGTGGGAGGCAAAGAGTAAAGAATCGAAACTTTTTGCTGCCTTGGCCACTCACTTAAAATTCAGTACGATATGCAGAAGCAATAGAAATGTTGAAAGTGGTTTATGTGTCCTATGGAATTCTTTACTGATATGGCAAAAATGTATTTTTCTTTTCCATTTGCAGAGACTATAACTACAGACCATGGTTTTATCTGCTGTTCCTGTTTCTGCTTTTATGATGTTTTATTTTGTCTATAGGCTTGTGTTGTGTGTAATTGTTGTGATCCACTGTGAGCGATACAAATGAATTGGAGAGGCAGGGTCTGGAGACCTATGGAAATCCAAGTGTCCCCATTTTCCAGGGACAGTTCTGGATTTACAAAGGCCATCCCGGTTTCTGATTTGATCCCAGTTTTCTGATTTGATCCCAGAATGTCCCAGTTTTCCTTAGGCTGTCCCTATTTTCATTGGAGAAATGTTGGAGGGCATGGAGTTATGTGGCCCCTGATCCAAGAAGATAAGTACCTATGCAACCATTAGAAGACTTCTGAAGGCAACCCTGTATAGGGAAGCTTTTTAACATTTAATGTTTTATTATGTTTTTATATATGTTGGGAGCTGCCCAGAAGGGCTGGGGCAACCCAGTCAGATAGATGTGGTAATAATAATAAAATTATTATTGCTATTATTATGGAATAGGACGTCCCAATTTTCATCAGAGAAATGTTGGAGGGTATGCAACTTGAATAAAATATGGGGGGGGGCTGGTAAGCCCCACCCCGCATAACTGATCACAAGAAGCAGTGCACACACACCATTTGAATGGCAATGTCCATCAACCTGCAGGGGGAGGCCCCCTCAAATATTTTATTGGGGAGGCCAGATGGATCTCAGTCACTAGGAGTTGGCTCCTATGTCACCCACTCTTCTCAGGGGTGCTGGAATGAAATAAAGTTAGGAATTATGATTAAATACTGTCTGAACTTATAGGTTATAGCTCAGATTAACTTCCAAGGATTTTTTTTTCATATTTAAATGTTTGCTCTACGTTTTGGCTACCTTTGAAGGTGACCAAAAAACTACAACTAATCCAGAATGGGGCAGCTAGACTGGTGACTGGGAGCAGCCGCCGAGACCACATAACACTGGTACTCAAGGATCTACACTGGCTCTCAGTATGTTTCCGAGCACAATTCAAAGTGTTGGTGCTGACCTTTAAAGCCCTAAACGGCCTTGGCCCAGTATACCTGAAGGAGCCTGGTCTAGCACTGAGGGCCTTCTGGCGGTTCTCTCCCTGAGAGAAGTGAAGTTACAGGGAACCAGGCAGAGGATCTTCTCAGTAGTGGCACCCGCCCTGTGGAACGCCCTCCCATCAGATGTGAAAGAAATAAACAACCACCTGACTTTTAGAAGACATCTGAAGGCAACTCTGTTTAGGGAAGCTTTTAATATTTGATGAATTATTGTATTTTAATATTCTGCTGGAAACTGAGAAACCCAGCCAGATGGGCGGGGTATAAATAAATTGTTGTTGTTGTTGTTTGCTGTTTTATTTATTTTTTATTATTCTTTTCATTTATTTATACACCACTTAAACATTCACATTTCTTTGTTGCAATCTCAATGAGAATTATTCTTGGGAACTAAATTTAGGAAGTTACTACAAAGTGCATAATGTATGGCATTTATCAAATGAAATGCAAAGTGTAAAAAGGGACTACTATAATTTGCATGCTAAATATGTCAGTGAGTAAGACATATACACGAACGTTTCCAGCTTTGGAGGGAAGAAAGGGTCTCCTTTCCTTCGCATTACTCACTAAAGAGCTATTTTTGGCAGACTTAGTTGGCTCACCCACTGCTTGCAATACATACCTGTGATTTCTCAATGTTTAGAGCAAAAACATATTCATTCAAACAGGGATCCACTTTCCAGAAATCATTAACTACAGTATTACTGTAAGAGCTAAGTGAATTCAAAGCAAAAAGGCTTCACAGGCTTTGCTTTCTCAGCACTTGTGAGATGTTAAGAAAGGCCTGTTCCTTCATTCTAGAAATGATTCTTTTAATTATCTTCCAATTTATGAAAAACTGACATCTTTACTGGTCAATAAATGCTCCGACTGTTTACTCAGTGGCCACGTTCCCCCATTTTGCTAATACGGTTTGACTGCAAAAAAAGCAATCAGTCGTTTCAAATTTTTACATGCATTTCCCCTCATAAATTATGATTAACAGCACAATCCTATGCATCTCTATGCAATCCCCATTGTGTTCAGTTGGGATTACTTTCAGGTAAGCATGTATAGGATTGCAGCCTTCCATACAAAACAGAACCTTAATCTAAATGTTAAGACTTCATTTTAATTTATTTTGTATATTTGGAGTTACTTGGATGCGAATATTTTTTGTTTATGGATAGATATGTTTGAGCTTTGCAGGTATTTCATAATGACAGTTGGATAATATATTAGACTTGGATTTGAAGTAAGTTTTTAACAGTCATAGAATTTCAGAGTTGCAAAGCTGGGAAGGACGTCTGAGGGTTATCTAGTCCAATTTCAACTAAAGCACCCATGACAGATGACCATCCAACCTCTGCATAAAAACCTCCAAGGAAGAGGAACCCATCACTTTCCAAGGGAGTCAATCCCACTGCCAAGCAGCTCTTACTAGGGCTAGTGTTGAATCAATGGTTCTTCAACATCAATTTTGTTGGTCTAGTCATGTTGTGGGGATGCCTGATTATCATCTTCCAAAGCAACTACTCTATTCCCAACTAAGGAATGGGAAGCGTAATGCTGGTGAACAACAAAAGAAGTTTAAAGACTGTCTCAAGGCAGTATAGGTAAGGGTAAAGGGACCCCTGACCATTAGGTCCAGTCATGGCCGACTCTGGGGTTGCGGCACTCATCTCGCTTTATTGGCCGAGGGAGCCGGCGTACAGCTTCTGGGTCATGTGGCCAACATGACCAAGCTGCTTCTGGTGAACCAGAGCAGCACACGGAAACGCCGTTTACTTTCCCACCGGAGTGGTACCTATTTATCTACTTGCACTCTGCCGTGCTTTCGAACTGCTAGGTTGGCAGGAGCAGGGACCAAGCAACGGGAGTTCACCCCGTCACGGGGATTCGAACCACCAACCTTCTGATCGGCAAGTCCTAGGCTCTGTGGTTTAACCCACAGCGCCACCCACACCAACAATTGGGAAACACTTGTCTACGAGCACTCCAATTGAAGAACAGCCTTTACCAAAGGTGTCATGGGCTTTGAAGACACTCGAACTCATGACACAAGGGAGAAACGGGCTAAGAGGGAGGCACGCTTGGCAAATCCACACCGTGATCAACTTCTGCCCGGAAACCAATGTCCCCACTGTGGAAGGACGTGTGGGTCCAGAATTGGCCTCCACAGTCACTTACGGACTCATTGTTAAAACCGTGTTTATGGAAGATAATCTTACTCAGGTACGAGTGATCGCCAAAGAAGAAAGAAGAAGACTAGGGCAAGGCAATATATCAATATATCATTCAAAACCTGTCCGAAGTCCATATCGTGATACCTGGCAATATATTGTGAATTATGATGTGTGACAGTGTGTGTTATGCAAAAATCACAATGTGGGGGAAACTGTGAAGCCAGCCAATGCTTCTCTCGATTCCTGCAGCACCTGTTAAACGCTGCTGGCTTAGCTCTCCTCCTCACTTAGGGGGCAGCAAATCACAAGAGCAGGCACCGTCAAAAATCACGATGCAGGAAGAACAGTGAAGCCAGCCAATGTCTCTACATAGCTCCATCCTTATTTAGACATTGGAATATCTTTTCATATCGCAATATTTAGCTAGTGATATATTGTGATGTTGAAGTCCAGCCATTGCCCAGCTCTAGCTCTTACCCTCAGAAAGTTACTCCTGATATCAAAATCTCCTTATAACTTGAATCCATTGGTTTGGGTCTTACCCTCTGGGGCAGGAGAAAACTCCTGCATGGGAACTGATCTGGAGCAAAGGATGGGTGACGCAAATTATTTGCTCTTCTTCTTTTTCTTTTTCTTTTTTTAAAAAAGATGTCATTCTCCTTCCATTATCTTTCCTCAGAAATTGTTTTCCGAGCCACAGCAACACCCATTTTATTGTCATTTGATTGTTTGAAGGCAGAGTTCCTTCCAGATACACTGTTTATATAGTGATATGGGCAGGATGTGTCTGCTGCCACCTGTATCCATCCAAACAGACTGTCCACAATAGTGCGTCACATTTTCAAACACCCCTTTAATTCTCTCTCCCCGCCCTCAATGTAACAATTTGTCCGGTTTTTAGCAGCGCCTAATCTCTCTTTTGTCCTGCTCCCCTTCCAGCATGACATACGTCAAGGATACTTCCAGCACTGCTAAACAGCCCCCGGAACCTGTGCTTTTTCATCACGCCTTGCTAAACATTTCATTTTCAGCTTTGCATTTTGGAGAAAAAAAAGGCCTACTGCAATGAAATGAAAACCCAGCTGAAGTTATTTCTAATTTTATTTGTTAAAATATTTACATTGGTTCGAGTCCTGGCCTCTACTGGAGGGTAGGACTCAAACCAATGGCTTCGAGTAACAAGAAAGGAGATTCTGAATAAGATACGGAACAGCTTTTTGACAGTAAGAGCTGTTTGACAGTGGAACAGTCTCTCTCGGGAGGTTGTGGACTCTCCTTGCTTGGAGGTTTTTAAGCAGTGGTTAGATGGCCATCTTTAAGGGATGCTTGAGTTGAGATTCTGGCATTGCAGGGGTTTGGACTAGACGACCATTGGGTCATTTCCAACTCTATGATTCTATGATTCCATTTGAGCCAAGGGACTATAGAGTTCCACGCTATTCTCTTCTAATAACAATATAGTCCGATGCAGAATGGTCAAACTGGGCCAAAATGTACCCGCAGACACTAATGCATGTAGGCTCTGGACATGGAATCTTCAAAAAAGATGAGGCATGTGCTCCTAACCAGCATGCACTGGGGTTTAGGCTGCCATGCAGAAGTTATAGTCAAGTCATGGAGGTTAGGTCTGGGTAGCAGCAGCAAATAGGATCCATGTGTGTATGATCCTTCATATAGGATCCATGTGTCCTGAAGGCTATGGATGAAAAAGAATCTTCCCTTCACAGCTGGAGAATTGGGGAGGGGTATTCTTTGGTATTCTGAATTACTGTTATAACTTGGAAGCAAGTTGCTGCCACGGGCATTATGGGTACTTTAATGAGCTGAATACAGTGAAAGATTATGAGTCATAGGGTATGTGGGCAGTGTGTGCATGAACTTAACAGTGCTTAGTTTTTTGCTATTTTGTTAATGTTGTTAACATTGTTTTATAGATTATAAATGCTATATTGATTTGTTAAATATATAACAGGACTTTTGCTTTAAATGTGATGTTTAGCTTAATTTTTAGTTGTCGCTTTGTTGACAGTGTTTTATAGATCATAATTGTTTCACTGATGATTTGTTAATTGTTCTACATGATTTTTGCTGCATTTGTGATGTTCCATTACGTTTTATCATGTTGTTACTATTGATTGATTGTAAGTTGCCTCAGGATCCATTTGTATACAAAAACATGTATACAGTGGTACCTCAGTTTACGAACTTAATCCGTTCCGGAAGTCTGTTCTTAAACTGAAACTGTTCTTCAACCGAGGTGCACTTTCCCTAATGAGGCCTCCTGCTGCTGGTGCCCTTCCACTGTTTGGCTTCTGTTCTTAGACTGAGGTAAAGTTCACAAACTGGGATACTACTTCCGGATTTGCGAAGTTCGTAATCGTTTGTAAACAGGGCTGTTCTTAAACCGAGGTACCACTGCATTGGGATAAATTTGAACTGAAATGCTGGTGAATTTTCTTGAGGACCATCCTGAGACCTGCGGGTATAGGGCGGTATATAAATTCAGTAAATAATAATAATAATAATAATAATAATAATAATAATAATAATAAATAATAATAATAATAAACAAAAACCAAAACAAACAAACAAACAAAAACCAAAATGCAAACTAATATGGGAATGTGGACAACTAAGTTTAAAACTGGCCAAGTGAAAAACTAAGAGAAACCAAAATTGATAGATTCATCCATCCCTAAATTTGCATTCCCAATCTGCGGCCTGAAGCAACAGTTGCACTCTACCTTAAGGTAAAGTTGTCCCAGAAGGAAAGGCACTACTGATGGCTTAATATTTTTCTACATATTAAATCCATTTATGCCAGTGTTCACTTCTCACACAATACACACTGAATCTTAAAATAATAATAATAACCAGGAAGTCCTTAATGCCAAGAAAATATTTCCTTTTGACAGAAATATTTTTCCAGAGTGATTGATTTAGAAGGGCTGAACTCATATTCAGTGCCTGAAATCCAGGAACCACCAACTGGGCTGGGATTCAAAATTATAAGAATAGCCATCTATTTTGGGGAGGGGTGTGGGTGATGCAATGAGCAGCGGAGGCAACTGCTTTCCTCACCTATCCCACAAGGGAAAGAGGAAGGGAAACATTTAAGAATTAGGGAAAAGAAAGCAAGGAGCTATTGAGTTACTGTAGTGAGCTCTGCTAGAAGCAGGATCAGAGTTTTCAGTAGAAGGACACTTCACTTAGGAATTTAAATAAATCTTTCTCTTGAAAGCAATCATTTGATATGGGAGTTAGGAGAAAACAACGTAATAAATAATATGTTGGAGGATTGTGGGCAAGGGAAGCATGCGAACGCTCAGCTTCCTAATTGAGGCCTTGGGTGGAAGTCAGATTCAACAGTGTTGGTTCAGTGTGACTAGAAAGCTGTGAACATGGTCAACGTGGAGTTGCTACGTCCAGCAAATGATTAATCTGGCAGCAGACTGAAGTGGTGCTCTGTATATTCATTCACCCTCAACCCATGCACTTTCCAGGATGAGAAGGAAAGGTCCCTAATGCCAACAGGTTGCCAATGGGCACATCCCTCGCCCCCCTGCATCTATGAAGCCTCTGAATGCCCACCACCACCATGCCATCTTGGTCATGAAGTGGTGAGGTTAGCTACCATTTTCTCCCTTCAGAAATGCATAGAGCAGCAGGAGGAAACTGGAAGAGAGACACTCTTTCCCACATCCTCTCCCAGCTTGGTCCACAAAAACTACATCTGTCCGACGAAATGACAGTGTTTTACAACAACCAATACGAGGGATGCGTTTGAGGAATTCCATCTTTGTGAATTCTGATACAAACTGACCTGATCTGCGCTTCCCAAACTAATGTGTGGATCAGAACTTAATGGTCCACTATACTTTGCACTTCTCTGAATGGTCAAAAACTGGATCAAAATGCATTTTAGAAACTTGCACACTTTGAGCGAAAATATGTTGAAAATACATATTTAAATATGGTGTTTGTGTGCACAAAGATGAGTTTAATTGCTGGTTAAGGTGGAAACAGGACATACAAAAGTGGCATGAACCAGAAAGAGCCTATTTTGACTATCTAGCACTTGCCATGTTTTCACTTACACTGAAGGTCAGAGCATTGGTTCTTCTAGTTCTGAAAATGGCTTTCCAAGGTCATAGGCAGTAGTCTTTCCCAGTTTTACTGTCTATGAACTTGAGATACCAGAGAATGGGTTAGGGACCATGTGTCCTGCCACTGTGCTACTGTTGAGTCTACACTTTTAACTGCATGCTGCCCACACTAGAACTATTGACCAAAATTCTGAAATGAATTTCATGTGAATACTTTGCCCTTCTGTTTACTTCAGAATGATGGATTTAACTGAGCAGGGAGGAAGGGAAGTGTCGACTTTTCTCTCTTTCTACCCTCCAATCAACCCCTTTGTAAATCATTCCTTTATTTTAAGGAAGAAGAAGAAGAAATCATTAGAATTATGGACTCAACCAGAAATTAAATAACATGCTTTGCTTTTCCAATTTATTTTTTTCCCAATCAGCTGCAGTGCAACACCAAATGCAGGGCAAAACTAGGCAGAGCTACACTTCCTACCAAGTCATGGGCTGTAAACTCTGAACAAAGGGTGATCAGTAAAATAGCGTTGTGTATAACTTGTGCAATGTTCATAAAATAAATTAATGAACAAATAAATATTCTTTGATGGATCCGTTAGCTAGTTTCCCACAAATCCCCCTGCCCCTATTCTCAGGGGTAGCATGAATTGTGAGGGGAGGAGGATGACATTACTCCCACAGGTATCCCTGCCAAAATATCTTACGCTGTGCAGTTGCTAAACCTCTGCAGTGTGAGTATATTGTACGCAATACTCAATGTCATCCACTTCTCAAGAAGTGGGAAGTATCAGAAGTCAGTTCACTAAGCATTATTTACAGCTTCTGCTTATATATATATATATATATATTCTCATTGCCATCAGTTGTGATGAAGATCGGGTTAATGCTTGAAATCATCATTGCATCCCTTCCCCACCCATGACATTTATAGCGTTCATTTTCTCAGGGAGGGTAAATTTAATCTTCTACACATTACCAGGAAAAGTGATGGCAGCACTTCTCTCCTTTGATGAAGTCGCCTTTATCAAATGAGGTTGCACCACCTACTTCACAAAAGGAGACTCGGCTTCTTTGAAAAGATCTGTGTCCACTTCTTGAGAAAAGGATAGAGGGCAAGATGCAAGGCTGCAAGCAGAGGCTGGTAATCAGTTCGTTCCTTTCTACATATAATAATAATAATAATAATAATAATAATAATAATAATTATTATTATTTATTATTTGTACCCCGCCCATCTGGCTGGGTTTCCCCAGCCACTCTGGGCGGCTTCCATAGAAACCAAAAAACACTAAAATATCACACATTAAAAGCTTCCCTGAACAGGGCTGCCTTAAGATGTCTTCTGAATGTCAGGTAGTTGTTTATCGCTTTGACATCTGATGGGAGGGCGTTCCACAGGGCGGGCGCCACTACCGAGAAGGCCCTCTGCCTGGTTCCCTGTAGCTTTGCTTCTCGCAATGAGGGACCCGCCAGAAGGCCCTCGACACTGGACCTCAGCGTCCGGGCAGAACGATGGGGGTGGAGACGCTCCTTCAGGTATACTGGGCCGAGGCCGTTTAGGGCTTTAAAGGTCAACACCAGCACTTTGAATTGTGCTCGGAAACGTACTGGGAGCCATAATCCATGGTTCTTCTCAGAATTCTCATACAGTTATGCGGGGAGATAAACTCCAACCATACGCTTCTCCTGACACCCTCCTGATTCTCTCATAGCAGCACCCGAATCCAGCCTTTGCGAGACTGGTGCCCTCCAGATGGTTTGGACTACGATTCCCATAAGTCTCAACCAGCACAGCCAATGGCCGCAGATAATGGGAATTGTATTTCAGCAACATTTGGGCAGCACCAAGTTGGCAAAGGCTTTCTGAAGCCACTTCCCCTCAGGACAGTGGTTCAAAAGAGTGCAACATCCACATTTCTCAGTGACTTCCCCTTTCTTAGACTTCTCAGGAACCACCTTATCGCAGGCATTCCAGTGATTTCTGCTTCTTTCCTCAGGCACCAAGGTATGGTTCTCCCTGAGGCAAAAGATGAAACACTTCCCCCTTCTTGCATGTAAACAAGCTAATCCTACTTTAACACCAGGAACATCCATCACACCTGAGGGCAGCAGACTAGCTTAGCATGACCAAGGCAAAGCAGGCGCTCCAACTGTAGGGGTGCCAAGGTGTCTTTGGCCCCCCCTCAATATTTGTTGGAAAGGGGCTGGACACACACACCCCAAATGTTGGGGCCCCCGGTGCTCATTGCACCACAAATCACAGCTTCAGTGACTGGCTCCTCCAGATGTCACAACGTCGTGTGACGCATGTCGGGCCCCCTCAATCTTAGGGACAAATTGGCGCCTCTGTCCTAAACAATTATATAAGCCAACCTAGTACTTTCATTTACATGCCAAACATACACCTTAAGTTTTAAACTCGGCAATGCCTCCCTGATTTCTTTCTTTTGCACCTGATAACACTTGTGCAGCTTGTATACAACACACACAGAGTTGATAATGGAAGCAGAGAGTAAGGTATCCCTGCATCCTCCGAGTATATTTCACTATTTTACAAAGGACCGCTTGTTATTTAAAGGGTTCTCCTGTCTATGTTTGGTTTATGTCCAAAGGAGGGAAAGCAAAGAAGCTACCCATCGACAGTTAGCACTTGAGCAGGCACACAGGTCACCTGGTCAAATTTCTTCCCATTGGTCTGATGTATTATGTCTAAATTATAGTAATTATTCCTCAGTGTGCATCTACACATATAAAGCATGTTATGTGAATGTCTGTCGTCTTTTGTGGCAACAAGCAAGTGACCTTCCTAATAGAGAGGGGAAGATGGAGAAGGTACCTTAAACCAAGTCAGACCAGTAGTCTGCCAGCCCAGTGCTGACCATTTTGCTTCAACTGGTACTTCTAAATGAAAAGCAAGCACTGTAAAACACTATGCTATGGATTCTCCTCTGGTGTTCATTTGCTAACAAATGCCGCACTCCCCAGCACATACAACATTAACTCAGCTGCTCAGCTTAGACAGCATTGGACTACAGTTGGTGGAGAAGCTGCAGCCCATCTTTAACATCCCGATGAATTGCTTGCTCCTTAATACTCACTATGACTTTGCTGAGAGCCAATCAAAATACTCAAATCTGCTTTGCAGGTAACTTCGGGCCTTCAAATCCAAAACAAATAGCTGCTCCATTTGAATTGGTTCTGGCCTTCTCAGAGATAGCATGCTCATCCCAAGTCGAGTGACTGTCAATTAGGATATCATAACGCCAACCAGAAGATCGGAACCAAATATTTTGCTTCCTTAAGTTATCTTTCAATGCCAGCGTGCTGCTAATTTTCCATTTCACCACAGGTGGGACAAGGCTCAAATATTTTATTATGCCTGCAGCACAAATAACTGCAAAACTGTCTTTCAACAGGCTTTGCATAATTTTCCTAAATACTTGCTTCACAATTTTAATAATAACCATCCATAGACATACGCAAATGCAGGTGTGCAACCAGAATTTCTCCCTCTGTCTCACAACTTGCTTTTGTTGTTGTTGGATAGCAATACAAGCCTCTTCACCTTTATAAGCATTTTCAAAAAATAATCTACACCTATCCTGGGCTGCTGGTTCTCTGTTTGGATGGCAACAGTATCTCCAGAGCTATTATGGTTCTCGGCTGAACACCAACCACATTTTCCTTGGTATCCATTACTTCCCAGGCTAACTTCTAGAGCTAATTTACTTCTGGGGACCTGAAACAGCTGCTGCAGATATGTTAGTACACACCCACACCCACCCACGCACACACACACTGTTGTGCTGTGGAGCAGCAGAAATGCTTTGAAACTGGTATAACCAATGGGTCACATTTTATTTCTTTTCAAAAGGTTGCTTTTTAAAAGTCACCTATAGGATTTTAGAGACCCAGAAGCCCTCTTCATGCATTTGTTAATCAATGTGTGAAGACGTTCATGAGAAGATGCCTTGTACCTTACATATTAACACACACAACGGCCAAGGGGTTCCTGTGCACATTTGGATGTTTGCATGCAGCGCTTCCTCCATGGAGATGAAAATTCAGGTTGCTCAACATCCCCATCCACAAGGAGAAAGCCCCATGCATGTATATCCATACACATTGGTGGCCACCACCATCACACTGACACAGGTACACACTGGTGTCACCATGATGATGATGATGATGATGGGCACAACACAAATGTCCCAAACTAGGGGATGGGGCTAGCTGCCACATGTTCAGTATCTACAGGTACCATATGGCTGAAGAGGGGCACAGAAGGGTCATTTCCCTGGCTCCAATTGTTTAATGATGCATTTACATTCTTCCTGTTATCCATCCATAAGATAATATCCTTCACCTTCCAATAATCCCATGATAACATCCATGCTGGAAGGTCTAAAAAACGTATTTAAAGCTACTTGGAAATATTGCCATCAACCTTTTCAATTTATATATGGGTAGTGCTGTTGACAGAGTGAGTGGTCCCATCACACCTTGGAACTATGGCCATCTTTACCCAGCCCTTTCAGATATACCAGCATTTCCTGAGCATTTCCCCTATTCCCCTCTCAGAGCTACAATTCCTAGAGTGGTTTAGCAATCCAATCCCTCTTCACATGGAACTCTGGGGATTGTAGCTCTGGGAAAGGAATAGGGTTCTCCTAACAACCCACAGGCAATGACAAACCTAGATAGCATCTTAAAAAGCAGAGACATCTCCTTGCCAACAAAGGTCCGTATAGTTAAAGCTATGGTTTTCCCAGTAGTGATGTATGGAAGTGAGAGCTGGACCATAAAGAAGGCTGATCACAGAAAAATTGATGCTTTTGAATTATGGTGTTGGAGGAGACTCTTGAGAGTCCCATGGACTGCAAGAAGATCAAACCTATCCATTCTGAAGGAAATCAGCCCTGAGTGCTCACTGGAAGGACAGATCGTGAAGCTGAGGCTCCAATACTTTGGCCACCTCATGAGAAGAGAAGACTCCCTGGAAAGACCCTGATGTTGGGAAAGATGGAGGGCACAAGAAGGAGATGACAGAGGACGAGATGGTTGGGCAGTGTTCTTGAAGCTACCAGCATGAGTTTGACCAAACTGCGGGAGGTAGTGGAAAACAGGAGTGCCTGGCATGCTCTGGTCCATGGGGTCACGAAGAGTCAGACATGACTAAACGACTAAACAACAACAGCAACAACAACAACCCACAGCACCCCTTAAACTACAGCTCCCAGAATACTTTGGGGGAAAGCCATGACTGTTGAAAGTGGTGCCACAATGCTTTAAATGTATGGTATGAATGTTTCTTGTCACACAGTGGTTGTCCTGCATGAACCGCATATGCACATGCGAACCCATTCAACATTACCCCATAGTTGGGTTTTGCATGGGAAGGTCAGAAGTGCTGGGCAAATTGTCTTTCAGGGAAAGACAACATGATATGTCTTCTCATTGCAGACTTCATCATTCTAGAGACCCCATTAGCATCTAATGGCTCCATAAGTATCTGACGGACCCCAGTGTTCTTCAAAGCAAATATTTAAAAAGTTTATAACAAACTCTTCTTACATGCACTCAGAGATTCATTTCATCAGATACCAGTGTCCCAGAGATTCTGGCTTTGACAACTGTAGTAAGAAAAGGAAACAACACTGCTCAAGAAGCACAAAACACCTCCCGTGCCCCATTCACAATGTTAGCTTTCTTTGATCCGGCCTTCCTCTCCTCCCACTTTATTCATACAGATATGCGTCAGAGGCAGCCTGTCATTTGTCTATGAAGAACAGAGAGTTACCTGCATTGATAAGAGGGGCAGAGTCAGGATGGACTTTGAAAGGTTCGCCACCACTGTCCATTGCCAATTTCCTCCAGTGCCTGGCCAATGTCCTTTTATGCTAACTGCCTTGCCCCCATGTGAAGTCTCGGGGCTTCATTCGGGTGTCCCTTTGCCCGGTTGCGTTTCCTTCCAGCTCCTAGCACAGCAAACTGGGCAGGCCTCCAGCATTTCCTGCACAAACACTCTTCACAGTCGAGCAGCCGTTAAAATGCCATCGCTTTCTCTCTCTCTCTCCCTCTTGCAATATCCTGGCTCCGAACTTCAGAAAGCACCGCGTCAACAAGCTGCTTCTTTCAACTTAACAATACAGCTGAGAGGTGTTTATGTTTATGCAGGAAGTAAACGCAACCTAGACCAATAGAGCTGCGCTGTGGGCTTGGCCTGGGGCTGGGGCTGATGGTGATTTCAACTGGAAACAGGAACTGAAAGTACACTCCCAGCCCCCTTCAACTCACTTCGCCTGCAGTCTGCCTGGTTGTCTTCGGCAAATGCCTGGCTTCGCTGTATTGTGGTCATCCGTAGAAATATGTGTCAGCCTGATATGCTTGCTGTGGCATGTTAACTCATTGTCTATTGTCTATTGTCATATCTATCTATCATCTATCTATCATCTATCTATCTATATATCTCTCTGTGTGTGATCATATTGCCTTCCTTAAAAAAAAGTCTGAGAATTAAAAACATCTGGAAGGCCTTTGCAATCTATCATAAACAAGAGGAAATCCAAATCATGTGACTTCTAAGAAAATGATGCAAATTGAATTCCCTGCCAACATTTACAGTAATCTGTTTTTCTTTCACTTTGCCCCCCTCTTGCTTGTAGGAAGACGAGGGGAGAAAGCAGCAATAAGAAGGGAACTGCTTCAGACGCGAAAATATGCTAAGCTCAAGAACTGTTGCTTTATTAAGTCGGCTTAATCATTTGGGGGTATGCTTGCGAATTGCAGGAGCAAACCGCTCAGCTAGATTCTGCACCTCCTTCCCCACCCTAGCCACCTTCTTTGTAAGGGACTTGTTATAGAAGACAAGAAGCTATGTAGGGATCCTAACGCAGGCTGGCTTTGCAGTTTGGGGCTCTGTTCTTTATGTGTGATACATGCCAAAAAAAGGAGAGGATGCCACATTAGTAATGCACCTCTATGAAACCACAGGGCTGGTTTTATTGCTTCAGGTAATAGGGATGTGTTGCTAAAAACAGATACTGCCTGAATACAACTTTATGGAGTACCCAAGAGGTCCAGAGAGAGATAAAAGAGCAAGAGAAAAGAGAAAGGCTTGGTCCAGACCTTCATGTACAGTACTGTGAAGTGAGTTAATCTCAGCCAGGAATAAGAAACATAGAGCAGCCATAGGAGAAAGAATAAACTTGGGTAAACTGAAAGTATATCCCCCACCTCCCACTAATCATGTAGGGATGCTACATCTTAATTCTCACAATGTTTTCCAAAAAAACAATTATTCTCTCTCTCTCTCTCTCTCTCTCTCTCTCTCTCTCTCTCTCTCTCTCATTCTCTCAACCTTTTTTTGACAAGAATTCTAACCAAATTCTGTGGCTGGACTCCAAATCGCTCTTCAGGATATGCCCAGTGAGATTTATCAATTTATCTTGGGATGTTTTTTATTTGAACAGGAGAAACTCCCTGCTTTACACACACTCACACACAGTATCTTAGCACCATCTGCTTTGGAAAGAAACCCCCGATTTCAAAAGGGGTATGGCAGGTGGCGCTGAAGTTCATGAACTGTAAGCCCAAACCCCCGACTTAAGAACACACTGAGTCATTCTGTGATACCATCCAATATGATACGATAAAGCGTACGCTCTTTAATTCGTTCCATATTGGAGTCTAGATAAAGCTACCAACGTATCAGTGCAGGCATATTACCGGATATTTTAGGGGTTTGCTGATGTAATCGTAATCACAGTTGTATCCTATCCTGCCTCCAAGGAGCTCAAGGAAGTATGGAAGGGGCTGTTTTATCCATACTATCCTAACCAGCAAAACTTGTCAGACAAAGAAATACAATACGACAATCTTTATTGTCACTGTGCCATACAGAACAATGAAATTGAAAAAATCTACATAAGACATTCAAAAACCAACAAGCCTGCTATCCCAGCTATCCCAACCTGGTTAGCCTCCTAAAAACTCTGATACCCCCTTTTTAAATACAATATGCTCCCATAGAGACTCCTTACACTGTGTTTAAAACCAAAATCGCATTTGAATAGAAACTGTTTCTCAGGCAGCTAGTCCTAGTCTTTATAACCCTGTACCTTCTTGCAGAAGGCAGAAGCTGAAAGAGATCATTTCTGGAGCGCGCACTATCCTGCACTATCTCTGCAGCTTTCTTGTGGCACCTGGCAGCATAGATTTGATCCAAGGTGGGAAGAGTGCACCCAATTATTCTCTCCGCAGTCTTTACAACCCTGACTTGCTCAAGCCCTCCCACTGTGTTTCATAGTTTGCTGGAGACTTGAACCCATTTCTTGCGGACCCATGACCAACACTTTCTCCTTTACCACTCCAGCTCTGTAAACTAATCCATGGCACTGGAGATATTTTGATAAATGTGATATAGGTGGAGAATGTGTAAAGACTGACCGAGGTGAAAGACTTCAATGGCTACTAGCCATGATGTCTATGCCTCAGTACAGTGGTACCTCAGGTTACAGACGCTTCAGGTTACAGATGCTTCAGGTTACAGACTCCGCTAACCCAGAAATAGTACCTCGGGTTAAGAACTTTGCTTCAGGATGAGAACAGAAAACGCACAGCGGCAGTGGGAGGCCCCATTAGCTAAAGTGGTGTCTCAGGTTAAGAACAGTTTCAGGTTAAGAATGGACCTCTGGAACGAATTAAGTTCTTAACCCGAGGTACCACTGTATTCTATACCATAGAACCAGGGCTATTTTTCAGCTGAAACTCAGTTCCGGCATCTCTCAGATGGGCGCCATTGCCATTCAAGGGAGGAGTTTATGGTGAGTTCTGGCACCTCTTTTTCTAGAAAAAACAGCACTGCCTAGTATAACAAGAACACCAGATAGAGGGACCACTTAGACAATGCCAAAAAAAAGAGGAGAAATTGGAACAGAGATTTGCATAAAAGGTGTGTGTGTGTGTGTGTGTGGCAAGAAAGAGATATGCTAATTTAGAAACAATTACTGTAATTTAAATAGATATGCAATACATCCACCATAATGGAAAGACTATGACAGGTTACTCATATGCTTGTTAAGTCTGCTGTCCAGATACAGTGGTACCTCGGGTTACATACGCTTCAGGTTACAGACTCCGCTAACCCAGAAATAGTACCTTGGGTTAAAAACTTTGCTTCAGGATGAGAACAGAAATCATGCTCCGGCGGCGCAGCGGCAGCAGGAGGCCCCATTAGCTAAAGTGGTGCTTCAGGTTAAGAACAGTTTCAGGTTAAGAACGGACCTCCAGAACGAATTAAGTACTTAACCTGAGGTACCACTGTACAGACTGTTGATGGGCAACCACAACACCACAGTTCTCTCTTCTTGGGGTTTAAACCATAAACCAGGCTTGGGGTGGACAACCCTTCAAATAGGTACAGATCATGAGAGTGTTTTCACATACCGCCTCTTCTCCAAAAAACATTCTCGCTAATAGGTGTAGCGTTTGCCTCTATGACAGTATTGAGAACAACACAGATGCATTGGTCTAGTTCACACAAAACTTTATGTGGTTGGAGACTGCACCTTGTAGGAGAAGGGGCTCTATCCTGCTCACCCAGCTCACCTGGTCCCATCTCTGGGCTCCCATATGTATTCCATATGTGTAGATAATGTTTGCAAGGGTAGGAGCAGCCTTTGCAGAGTCTTCTGGACGCTGTGGACCACAACTCCTATCACCCTTGACTTTGGGCGATGCTGACTGGGGATAATGGAAGTTGTAATCCAAAACTTTGGACTACACTATTTCACACAGACCCTACATCTGTAAAATCCAACACATGCAGTAGGTCTGAGCTACTGGGTCACTAAACTCCAGTAAAGGATTTTGTCTGCACACATGTATGCTGGTGTCCATCTGTGGATGTCTGGTAGATCCACAAGAAGACAGTCCATCAGGAATCATCTTGCTTCCCCATTACGTGGAGGCATCACATGTTTCCACAGGTTTAGTCCATGTTCAAAAGCAAATGAAGAACTCAGTTTCAGTTTCTTTTTTAAAAAAGAAATCTGTTTGAGTAGATATCTCAATACCCCACCCATCTGTCTGGGTTTCCCCAGCCACTCTGGGCAGCTGCCAACAGAACAGTAAAAACATGATAAAAGCTCAAACATTAAAAACTTCCCTAAACAGGGCTGCTTTCAGATGTCTTTTAAAAGTCAGATAGTTGTTTATTTCCTCAATTATTTCCTCAATATCTGAAGGGAGAGTGTTCCACAGGGCGGGCGCCACTACCGAAAAGGCCTGGTTCCCTGCAACCTCACTTCTCGCATTGAGGGAACCACCAGAAGACCCTCGGAGGTGGACCTCAGTGCCCGGGCTGAACGATGGGGGTGGAGACGCTCCTTCAGGTATACTGGGCCGATGCCGTTTAGGACTTTAAGTGTCAGCACCCCACTTTGAATTGTGCTCAGAAATGTACTGTTAGACAACCCCCTTCTTTCTGTGGCTTCTGTCATGGATCATTCTGTTTTTTAATTCCTTGCAAATTTAGGCTACATGTTGATATTTTAAGGGTGAGATTTACACCCACACACCAGTCCCATTAATATATCCATGCCAAGAGTTGCTGGTGATCCCCATCTCCTTCATTCTACTCATTCTGTTATGCATACATTACCTCCTTTCTAGCTTCAGTATATAGAATCAGATATTTTTTCATGCATAAAGGAGGTTGCCCTTTCTTTGTTGCAATTAAAACCATTCCTCCTCCTCCTCCCCCCAACCCCCAAAAGCACATATTATTGGGACAAAGTAATATGCTGCCCCTAATTTGCAAATCCACAACATATATAACCTCTTTGAGGGGCACGCTTGC